AAAAAAAAGTATTCTTGTTATCATTTTCACCTTTTAGATTTAAATCATGCAACAAAGTTGATAAAATTTTATGACATTGCACTAATATGGCATTTAAAAGGTATGTAGTTTTTTTTTACTATTATTACATACCATTTTTATGAATATCTGAATTTAAAATTTAATATTTATCATTACGATAAGATATCATTATATATTTTTTTTATCTTCGAAGATAGTATTATATGATTCAAAAGGTTGGTAACATTTATTTTCTGTATTATAATTATAAAATACTAGTTTATGTAATTCAAACCAAGAAAGGAAAGAAACTAACCAATCAAACCAAGAAAATAAATAAATGGTTATTTGTCCATTATCTATTTACTTTAAAAAACAAGATTTATTCTTTATTTTTATGATCGACGTTTTTTTAAAATATCATAATATTAACACAAATTTTTAAATTAAAAAAGTAAATAATAAAAAATTAAGAGTTCGAGTTTTATTTGTGAAATAAGTGCAATTGAAAAAGAAAAATATGATGCAGTGTGTTGCCGACAGATAAAATATAATTAAGAGGGTGGATGAAAAGAGGTAAAAATTAGAGTTTTGCATGCCTAAAATTGAATTATGTTAAGTCATGAGTAGTGATACTAGTACTTTTCATAAGCGAAATCATGGGTACATGTCCTAATCAAACATCCATTTGGTGATCGACAAGGGGTTTTTAACAGTAAATTGAGGCACTCATGGGCAGAAATTAATAGATAATACATAGGTGTAATTAATTAATTAATGATGGACCCTTCAATGATCTCTTTCCTCGAGTCTTCGAGTGTTGATTGCCCTGACATTTGGCGTGCCAAAAAGCATTCCAACTTTGTAAAATATGTGTGCTTTCACTCGTGGGTATTGGTCAAATTGGAAATACTAGGAGTGTATTTGATTAATTGGTGCATTGGTTGTGTTCACCCCACTTTCCTCACGGTCTTCCAATGAATGAAATTCAACCTATCTAGCTGGCTAGTTAAACCCAACCCTCCTGAAACTAATCATGTTGATAAGATTGATCATTAATGTCCAAAGACAATGGAAAGGTTCGTAGCATTTCAGTCCCTACCTTTGTAATGAAAGTCTAACATATCGTCCACTTTGCATTTGTGCACTTTTACCAAAGTTAATGGTCCATCAACAACGACAACAAGTATGGCTCAAGTATGCATACACTTAAGGACTCTGGTCCCCACTAATTAATTATCTTCAAGGAACAAATACACCAATTTGGAATTGCGTGAGCCATGTTTTTATTGAAATTTGGCATCAACTTTAACTTCTAGTTTCTCATTTTTGGTTGTGTTCCGACTATACCTTTCAATCTGCTTTTCTACTTTTGTTGGAGGTTTAGGGTCTCACATACGTATAAATCAAAATGAAAGGACCACATGCAAATGCAATTTTTTAAACCTATTACTACTATGTTCATAATCATTACTCAACCTTTTGCCTATGTTTTCTGAAATTTGATAAATTAATCTTAAATCAAGACTGGTTCAAGTTCAGTTTTGTGGTGTTTACAAATGTTTGATAACTTTGTGTTGTTTATTAGTCTCGTCGTGCGATGAAGTGAGGTGCAGGATGCGTATCAAAGATAGTAGATTGCGTACATCGTTCTTGGCCTTTTGTTCACAAGTTATTTTTGGAATACATCAATGCTTCAATGAACTATGGCAAATTACAAACTGGAACCGTCTCTGTCATCTCCTACAAAAGACAATCTATACTTAATCCAATCATCGCATCTCTAGACAAAACCATGTTCGCTGGCTTCGTTCCTCCAAATTAATTCATTTTTTAAGTAACTTAGTTTTCGATATACTTATAATTTGGACAAAACTATCCAACTATATATTATTGGTGTTGTTTTTTCAATCAAATTTTAAATTTTGTTTTGATAATTTGTGTCTTATTGAACGTTGTTCCGTATTAGCAATGTGAAGGGGTTATATGCGTATATAGCATAGCCAACACAATTCTCAAAGGCTGGGGTAGATCTTGCAATAAGACCAAGTTGGGGAAAGAGGAACCCCAGAAATGGAAAATATTAAATTTGTGATTCTGTCTCCACATTGTATATGTATGAATTATTATGAGTATATTACATGGTTACCCTCCCTTAGTTTTTCTCTCTGGGAGTGACTACGTACCCTAGTTTCCTAAAATATCTCATTGGCTTTGTCTTGTTCTCTATCTCATGGCTGAAATAAACAGAAACATGGCATGCAGAATCCTCACCCACCCCAGCCTGTCTTCCTTAGTATTTAAGGATTCCTGCACTAGGCCAAGCAACATCTTTGCGCGAGTAAAATAAAATTTCAGGTTTCGGCATTTACATGTAAGCGAGTCGATCTCATCATTTGCAGAGCCTGCAAGTGCAATTTTCAAGTTTTCCAGCTTCTGGGAATTAATTGCACTCCATGTGTATCTGTTTTTTACGATACCATTTTAGTTCTTGTGGTTTGGACCGTGGGATCCAAAGGGATGATGGTGAATATTTAAACACATATACATATATATATTATATATATATACCTGGAGTAAGATGACACAATGATGGTTGTTTGTATTTAGAGAGTTATAATAATGAAAAAGATGTAAGAAAAGGCCAAAGGAGGGTCTATAATTATGGGCGTGACTCTAACATGTACTTAAACTAAAACAACACACAGTTCAACCTTTGGTAGAGCAGAAAAGGGTGTCTGAATCTACCTGGAAATTGAGGTGAGTTTTGTCTTGAAGTCATGGAAAAGACGCAATCTAACTAAAGAAGCCAATAAATATGATGGAATAGAAGTATATTTTAATGGAAGGGTGCATGGGGTAGACAGAAAAGGGACCGGATTAGTAAACAAATAGAGTGTGTTGGTGTGGGAGAGAGATTCAAGTGTGAGGAGGGGATTCAAACACGGTTACACAGAGAGTTTTTGTGTCTTCTCTTATTGGACAAATCTTATCCCATCTTCGTTTATTGGGAAGCCAAGATATCAGAGGATATTTTTCTCCTTCTTTTCCCTCACTATTCATTTTCATAATTTCCTATCATTGAAAACTAGAGTGGCCAAACAGAAATAATGCACTCTTGCACGTGACACAAATACTATTCTTTCTCATCTGAACATAATAATATATACCACATTTTGGAGATACCTCCATGAACTTGACCTATATCTGCCAACACACATGCCATCATTATAATAAGGATACAAAAACCAGAGGGAGGACATGGACCACTCTCTCACTTGTTTTTCTCTCAGAATCATCAACGGCCACCCTTTCATCCACCTCACCCACGAAACATCAACTCATTGGCTTCACCTTTTTTACCTATTATGTATAACATGTGGACGGTTTTACCATTTTTACCTTACCCGAAAAGGTTGAAATTATGACCTTCATGATTGGTCAAAGAAAGAAAAAATTACACTCAAAACACAATTCCAAAGCCACAACTCAATCACTTTTTATTTTATTTTATCTGGGTCTCTTTGCTGTCACAAAAATTTGCTAATCAATTTTTTATTTTTTATTTTAATGGGTCTCTTTTGTTAACTTGAAAATTTGTTTTTTTATATAGTTAAAAAATACTAAAACTTTTTACCATTTTCAATGCCCCATTATCATGATTTTAACTAATTAAACTCTCCTTATTACTATTCTTATTATTATACTTTTTTAAATCAATACTTTTACGTCACTCATCAACTCATAATCAAGTAAAGTCAAAGAGTGTTTAATAAAACTGAGGCAAAACGGAAAATGGAATTCGGTGTGCAAATAATTAAATGAGTAAACATTGCTATAGGTAACTAGGCCGGCATGGGATTGAGAAAAAGGAAGCTTTGGAGAGTGAGGGAGCATATTGAGATTATGATGATTATGAAGAAGAGGAAGGGACCCATCTTTTTCTTATGCCTCATTTGTTTGCCAATTTAGTAACATGGGATGTCCCTAATTCCACGAAATTACTCACCTCTACAGTCTCTCTTTCTTTCTCACCATTCATAGGCATAAATGTTCGTCCCAATTCAGTAATACTTCACTTTTCTAATAATCTCACGTAGTATATAACTTTCACAGCTCTCTCTATATACCTTTTTCTCAACTTATTCAACCATCGTTGCTATTTCACTGATCACAGTTAGATAGAGAACCACCACGACCACTTATCCCAATTTTACAATCTTTTTTTTTTTAATTTAAAAATAAGTGTAATAAATATATAAAACAAAATACTACACAAAAATAGTTATCTAGAATATTAACTATTTAATAGAAAATAATGTTATCATTGTCGATCCTTCGTCGGGATATTGTAATGTACTTCCTGAATAAAAAAAAATAATATGCAATGTACTCTTTCTATAGCGTAACGCATTTTGCACGTAACTTACACCAATAAATATTACGTGTATGGTGGGGTATTTTCTTAAATTTTATTAAAATAGAAAGAGTAATTCAGCAAAAAAAAAAAAGTTTAAAGCGAATATTTATTACATGTATACTTAAGAATTTGTGGGATGGCATGTCCAGTTTTAAAGTTCAACAAACCTATTTTTCAAAAACATAACTTTTTGCTGTTTTTAATTAGAATAATAAATGAATAAAAAAGTTGTCTTTCTTTGAGAAGAACATTTTGTCCCAATTATTATATATATATAAATAAAAGAAAATTGAAAAGAAAACGAAAATGGTGGGAGATAATTTATCTTTTTTGTTCGAGGAGGACAGATTTTCCTTTCTCTCTCTTTGTCATGTCTTGCAAAGCTAGCTCCATCAAATAGTTCCCACAGTTCCTACATCAAACCATAATCATCACGCCTCTTTCAAAACCCTTCCTTTTCTCTCTTTCTCTTTTTCCTTTCTCTCATTCCCCACTTCTATCTGTACCCTCACAAAATCCTCAATTCCCCATCCACCTTTTCTCTGTGGAGAGAGAGAGGGAGAAGTGAACAACGTAGAAAATGTCGATAAACCACTACTCCATGGACCTTCCCGAAACAACACTATGGTGGCCCCAACAACAACAACCCATCTTAATGGAACCAACCCCAAACCCCTCCTCCACTTCCTGGCCCTCTGCGGACCCTCTCCGTCTCAATCTCAACCACCAAAACGACGACTTAGAAGAAGACGAGGAAGAGGAAGAAGAAGACCAAACGACAACCACTGGACAGGAGCAAGAAACCGAAGACGAGAAGGAACCCATGTTCGAGAAGCCTCTAACTCCCAGCGACGTTGGGAAACTCAACCGCCTCGTAATCCCGAAGCAGCACGCCGAGAAGTACTTCCCGCTCAGCGGTGGCGGTTACTCGGCCGAGTGCAAGGGGCTTCTACTGAGTTTCGAGGACGAGTCCGGGAAGTGCTGGCGGTTCCGCTACTCTTACTGGAACAGCAGCCAGAGCTACGTTCTCACCAAGGGGTGGAGCCGCTACGTCAAGGACAAGCGCCTCGATGCAGGCGACGTCGTTTTGTTCGAGCGCCACCGCGCCGATTCCCACCGCCTCTTCATCGGATGGAGGCGCCGGCGACAAAGCGACACCCCGCCGGCGCACGTTAGCGGGAGGGCGGTGGGGCACGGGAAGAGTGGCGATGGAAATAGTAAGAATGAGGGTGCTGCTACCAGTGGTGGTGGTGGTGGTGGTGTGGTGTGGACCAGAGGGCTCTATTCTGCGCATCCTTATCCTACGCATCATCCTCATCAGCCCTTGCCATACCAACATGCAGGTCGCTCTATCTCTTCAACACAAATAAATATTTTATCTCTTTCATTTATTTCGTTCGCATTCTGCTGCCAAATTATCGTTTTAATTTCTTAAAATTAACATTTAGAAGTAAAATAAAATCAACGTGTGTGATTTTATCCTTAATTGCTTTATTCACTTTCACCTTCTCTGAAATGATGGTTAATTTTATGTTTTTAACACTTTTCTCACCCCCTTCCTCGAAATTCAAGGTTTTGCCAAAGAAAGAAATACTATAATGATATTCAGGTTTGAAAAACAAAAATCTTAGTTTCTAACACACTCCTTTTATCTTTCTATATTAGATTTTTCTTTGACCTATAATATCTTACCTTATTTTAATAAATGGTAAATATATAGTAAAAAACATTTAATACTTCATTAATATAGTAAAAAATTGTCATACTTATTAAAAAAAAGAAGGTAACATATATAATAGTAAAAGTGCTTTGCATTTATAATATAAGTAAAGAAAGAATAATGTAAAATTGGATTTGTAAATTTAATTTATCCTCACGGTACACTATCCTTTCATAGATATCACTGGCTTTTTTGGGTACACTATCCTTTCAATGAATTCCTTCTTTCACTGGATATATTTTTTTTTTTTTTAAGTAAAGTAAACAAAGAAGTACTTGTAGATTTTATTATATTTTTGATAAAAGGACAAGAAGATTTAAATAATTACATTCTTGTGGAAGTGCGTGAAGTTTACCTTCCAATTAAGTGGGAGAAATGTGGTGTGTTATATGGGGAATTGCGAGGAGGCGAATACTTTGTTTAAAAGGGTGAAAGGCGCGTGAACATACGCGCCGATGGTGGGTTTTGAAAAAGAAAAAAAAAACGAAACTAAGGCGGTGGCGTTTAATCTGTTTGATTTCCCTTGATTTGGATTTGGATGAATTGAATTGTGAGTTTATGATATAATAAGAATAAGGGATTGAGAAATGCACGTGTTGAAATGTTACAGGAAGAGGGTCCCAAGGTCAGAAAGAAAGGACGAGAGCAGTGGGAAACAGTCCCAGTTCGAGTTCTAGTTCCAGGGTACTTCGGCTGTTTGGGGTCAACATGGAATGCGAACCAGAACACGATTCTGGACCCTCCACACCCCAATGCACCTACGCCACCACCAACATCATGCCCTCCTCACAGGGCACACACCATTTCTTCCATCATCACCAACCTTCTTCCAATCCCCCCCAACCTCATCACTTCCTACGTCACCAACCATACTACCACCATTAATTCTCTTCCCCTCTTTTCTTCTCTTTCTCTTTTTCCCCTCTCAAGTGTAAGATATATCCCTATCCACTTGATTACTACTTGATATAATCTCTTTCTTCTCTTCACCAATTCTCGGAGATGCACGCAAGTGCATTTTCTTTAACTTCTCTTCTTTCAACCCCACTCATCACCCAGAAGGGACACTTTTCTTGTGCAGTTTTCCCACTTCATTTTAGCCAAACCAATCTTAAATTAACTTCCTTCAAGAACACTGGCCATCTCTCATCCTACTTTGAGTAAGTAATCTGGGTTTCTGTAGAGATTTTAGTTTCAATACCACAAACATGATGCATGCAATCTTTAGCCTAAGTTCAACACGACCAAGGAGTTTATGATCTTTTGACAGGGAGAGAAACCATACTTGTTCATTTTCATAATTACTCTCTACTGAATTAGTTTCGATGAGAAGCAATTTGAATCCTACTGTTAAAGATTATTAGAGCTCTTTATTTTGAGTATGTAGAATGTCATGGAGTAATAGTTTGTTTGGTTATGGGTAATTAAGTTCAAATAAACGTTGACAATCTCGAACAAAAACAATTTCATTCTCCGTTTTGTGCCATGGAACGTGTTCCTAATAATATTAATCACTTTAATTGTCTGGGCTTAACAATATTATCCAATTATAACTTTAACATCTAATAATGAGTTTTATGATTTCATGCTAGATAACATAAAAAATAAGATCTTAATCCTTGTGTCTCACCAAAAGGTTCAAACAAAATTTATTAGTCATTTGACATGCTTAAGGTTTATATAAAATGAAATTTTCAAATATTTAGAAGAAACATACATTAACTGGTCACTACTTTTTTTAGTGTAACAACTTTGTAAGATATATATTTTTGTAATACCTTATATAACACTAAAAGTAAGAAATTATAAACTAATAAAATCTTAATTATTATGCTTGAAGAAAACTATTTTGTTAATAAAAATATTATATATTTTTTATACTAATAAAATTATGTATTCATGATATAAGATATTAGTGCATACATTACGTAGTGATATAATAAGAACTCAATGTTTACACAAACATGTTGAATGCTTCTAAATAAAAGTTAAATTAACAAGATAAGCCTAAAAGCTAGTTACATTTTTACTTGTATATACTAGGGGAACCAATTGGTTATTAAGTTTCAAAGTCAAAATACTTTATTTTTGCGTTTTCTTTTGAAAGATTAGACACAACTAATCTTTTTTTTTTTTTTTTACTTTTGGGGTTGGGTGGTTTACATTGTTAATAGATAATGTTAACGAATTCCAAGTAACAAGATGAAAATGATTAATGTTGGGTTCCAAAAGCTTTAGTCTTTGGGTAATAAAAAGTTGCATGTACATGGTTGTGGGCCTTCTAAGGCGTTGTAATTAAGCATCATGAATAACCATAATAAAAAAAGGTGCTTCCTTTCCCATCCATTGTTGAATCGATCTAAGACTTTCCCCAAACAAATTCAACAAGTTTGTTGCATATGGTAGTCAACCATATCTAGGTGTCAAAGCTTTCAATTTGGTATGAAAATGACATGGTATCAATTGTTGAAGAAGTAATTAAGTTAGTGAGGAAATGAATGATGCGATTGGAGGATGAAAAACGAAGATGTCTGATTGGTTAATATAATGGTAGCAGTAAGTAGTAAAGAGAGAGAAGATGAAGAGAGAAAGTGATGGTAAGAGAATATGTGTGGATGTGTGTGATTGCAACAGGGTGTGAAGCAGATGAGAAATCGCCCAGGATAAAGAAATGTGGATGTGACATCCATGAATTGACCCAATTAAGCCCACTATGTCAGTCAGTCCTCACCTGCAGAGAGAAAAGAAACGGGAAACAAAATAAACAAAATCATCATTTTCATCATCACAACCAAGTGGAACAAAACTTTTCACTAGACAGGGTGAGGAAAGAAATGAAATCCCCGATTTTCATACCAAACTTTCACACCATATAGTAAGTAGTAAAGGCAACGGGGGGTAAGTAGGTTGTGGCAGTGGGAAAAAGAAGAGCAGCAGCAGCAGGAGGTAAAGGCAGAGACAAAGACAGAGCGACAGAGAGTAAGGCATGGGGAGGTAGCGTAGGACCCATTCAGGGCAGTGTCACCAAATGGAGAATTGAAGTGATGGAAAAATGGGAAATGAGTAATGGGGAATCTATTTGGTACTGTTGAGATTCTGCCTCAAGATTTTTTATTTCATTTTTTAGAGGCTTGATGGTAATCAAGCTCTGTTTGAGTGCGACTCACTGACATTTTACAACGAGATTAACATCCTATTTGAACCATGTTCTCTAGTATCAAAGTCCCATATTGTATAGGAATTAAAATTAAACTAATTTATATACCCTCCTCTCTTTGTATCGGTAAAATTCCAAAGCAAATTCCTTGTGGAAATGGTCAAACTATACATGAGAATTGATTTACACGGTTGTAAATGGTTGAGTGGAATGGATAAAACACATACAATCCACTCTTTCTCTCCAAAACCTCAGGTCGCATCCATACATGTGCTCAATCTCATCCCTCACTTTCACCAATAATTCCGAGTTCACAAACCTACTTTCAACATTATTAACCACTTTTATCTAATCCTATTTTTTGTTAATTTTTTCACTTTAATTAATTTCTAATTTTATAATATATACTTTTTATTTTAGGATAAAAATATTAAGATATTATAGTAAAAGTTAATACAGTTATTTATCTTATAAAAATATTATTTTTCATGTAAGTAAGATAGAACGTAGTATTTGATATTATATGCTGTTTACTTGCATTTTTTTTCGCCCACATAATTAGAAGAATTTTATTTCTAAATATAAAACAGATTTGTAGTGTTAACTAACAACACATCATAATAAATGGTAATAATAATAATAATAATAATAATAATAATAATAATATATTTTCTAATACTATATGCTTCTCAAAATAATCCTAGTATTAAATGACTAATTTTCTCTTCTTTTTCCACTAATTTGTTTTTACTTTCTACTATATACTATATATCATTAATATTATTAAGGTATGAGTGAAAAAAAATAGTTAACTTTGAAAAATTAAAATGACATATTTTAACACTTAATGTTTTTTTTTATATAAAAAATTAATATCACTAATTTTTTTACACCACCTTTTCTTCGTCCAATTACAAAATAATCGTCTAAAAAAAATTGTAGTAATATTTTTATAAATAATGAACAGAACTTTTACGTTAAGTTTTATTAAGAGACATAAAAAATCACGTACATCAATTTTTCTTTTATGACGTAAAATTGACTTTGTTTATAAGATTTGATATAAATTCACGTGTCTTTTCTTATTTTTGAAGAGGTTTAATAATACGATTATATACAATCATATACAAAAATATAACACTAAAATTTGAATTCATTATATTAAGAATATGTCTCACTTTTAGTTTACTACTTTTTCATTTTTAGGGAAAATGAAATTTCAACTCAGGATAATATCTGACGTAAAAAAAATTAAAATAATTAATATACGTAAAGCCTCTTATATTCGCTAATATATCATATTGAATAAGTATTAGATATGTTGGGAACACTGACATAAATACGTTGAAAAATTATGATGTGAGTATATTATATTGTATTGATGATTACAATTCTTGTTTTTGGCACTCTGATTGTGATTTTGTAGAGTTCGGATGAAATAATTCACCGTTTCTAATAAAATATTTCTTCAATTTGAATATAGATTTAAACTAATGGGCAGGAATGTGAGGTGCTAGAAATTGATGTGGCTATGCAGAAGTTGAGTATGAATAATGGAGATGGTGATGGTGATGGTGATGGTGAAAAGAAGATTATGTGGGTATGTTAGCATTGAAACGTGTGGATGAAAGTCAAGTGTGGATGTAAAAGCTTGATAGAGGCACGTCAACAGCAGGCCGTGGAGCCCCCAACCCCACGGCAGTGCTGCCAAATCTGTTTTATATGCGATTCTCATCTGCCCATGTTCCAAGCTTCTGCAACTTCAAAGAACAGAGCCAAGAAAATTATGATGAGGGGAAAGAGGAACAACGTTAACAACATGACTAGCAGGGGTGAAATGTTTAAGCAAAAGTGGGAAAAGGTGAAACAAGGGCAGGGCCAAAAAGAGGAGACAGAGATAGATGGTTGGAGCAAGCAAGGTATATCGTGTGTAGAGTGTGTGTGTGTGTGTGTGTGTGTTTTGTATGAAGGAAAGGTAAAGGCATTAATGCTACGTTGAAAAATGAGTTGATCTTATCTACTTATCCGCTCATTCATGGCTTCTAAATTCTCATAAACATCTTGTGTCATGTACTACTACCAGGGTCGTATGGGGGAAACTGCCAGAAACAACTCAGCCTCAGCACTGATTCAATGCAGCATTTGTGGCAACCTGAGTCTTCGCTTTTGGCTGATTAGCAGAGTGGTGAGCCAGTTTTTGGACCACTTTTAGAGACCAATTTCAACAACTCATACATGATAATACATACAAAAAAAAGACAGAAAACACTTTATTCATTCAACTTTCCTTTCCACCATTAAACCTCCCATTTCTCTTTTCCTTCCAAACTTCAATCATTCTTGTTGCCATTAATTATAGTCTTCAAGAGATAGATAACATTACTATTCATTACAAAATCCTTCTTCTTAACATTCAGCATACCAATACAAAGCTTTGAATATTACTTCAACTCCAACCTTCATCCATCACATATAACAAGATAACCCTGCATGCGATAGTTCACACATGTGTTATATGATTAGGATTTAATATATTATTTAGTTATTCATATAAAAAATGTATGATTCTAAATATCATATTTGATGATAATGAGAAAATTGAATATCATCCATAATATAATGTTTTAAGTTTTTAAGTTAAGAATGATGTCAATTATTATGTCAATTGGGTTCATGTGTGATTGATATTGTTTTCCCTAATAAATCTTCTTCAAAAGATTTAACAAGTGATATTTAAGCTGAAGATTAATTGGTAGCGGGTTAGAATGATCTTTATATCGAAAGTCTTTTTTTGTGTTATGATAAATGTTTTAAATAAGAATGAAAAAATTGAATAACATATAAGAAAATATGATCCATAATCTAATGTGTTAAAGTTTGAAAATTACATAATTTTTATCTTTGTAAGACTCATCAAAATATCCAACAACTTATTTCCCTTTGGGGGTGATGAAGTAATGGAAGAGGGAAAGAAGAAAGATGTTAGAAAAGTGGGTTTTTCATGGTAAAAAAGAATTTTGATTTTACTAAATAGGCTTAAAAAGTTTAAATTTTTTCAAAATGGGTTAAATTGTACAAAGGTGAGACGATTTTGAATATGAAATCATGCTTAGAAGTAATTTTTTAATTGAAATCGTATTTTTAAGTACTATTTTTTTTATAAAGTGCTTTGTAGCACGACTTTTTCTTTTTTTTTGTTGAAAAAATGTGATGAGATACTTTAAAAGATAGAGTATTGGAAAAGATCATTAGAGTCATTCTCTTATTATTTTCATAATGTTGTGTTAGATGTTAGGATTGACATGATTATTTCTTCTTTATGGTGTCAAATTATGACGAAAACCCTTTGACATATAAACCATGGTGGCGTTGAATTTGAGATATTAATGGGATGAGTGGTAGAGTGGATATTTTAAGCAATGTTGGAAGTTTCATTACATAGAATAGAGAGTGAGAATTAGAGACTTTTTCAATAATACTAAAATAAAACAGTAGAAATTTTTTTCTATGTACAATATAATCATTTGATTGCTTCTATTACTATTGTTGGGTAGTAGATTTAACCAGTTAAAAATAACTTTTTTTTCATCTGCTTCTGGCTATGGCATAATTAGTTTGATGACCATAAATAATTTGATGAACCTAATAGTCTTAGGGCCATTTTTTTTTAAGAGAAATATTAGAAAACACGTTTTTAGACCAAAAAAAGAAAATAAAATCGTGTTTGAAAGTACAATTTTAATTAAAAACATGTTTCCAAACACGATTTCAATTAAGAATGTACTTTTAAACATGATTTCAATTAAAAAGCCTATTTTCAAATATGATTTCACATTCAAAATCATCTCATCCTTTCACGATTTAACTCATTTTGAAAAAAATTAAAATGTTTAACCCTATTTGATAAAATTAAATTTTTTTTGACCCATAATGATAAAAAAGCCTAGAAAAGTATGAATAAAAAAAAAAATGAAAGAAATTCACATAATGAATTTTATATTTTTGTTATGTTGTTGAAATGTTTGTTCTTTCTCTATCTCTGACATTGTGGGGGATAGAAAGTCCAAAAATGAGGTACTGAGAAGAGTGTGAGGTTAACTTTTGTGATGCATGGAAGTGGTTTATACAAAATAGAAGCGACAAGGAGGGTTGGAAACTAAGATGTGACGTGTGAATGAAGGGTTGGTGATTAATAATTAATCGCATTCAATTACCAAAATGAAAGTGAAAGATGGATATAATGTAAACCAAACTCTGAGGACCCACTCCAACACCTCAGCTCAGTGCTGTGTTTTATCAAAACTCTTTTCATAAATCTTCCTGGAATAACATTAACATCTCTGTGGTTATGTTTTTCAATCACTATTCTTATTTTAATTCAGTTTATACAACTTTTTTTTTTTAAATTTTAGAAATGTTAAATAAAAAAAATAAGTTTTTTCAATTCCTCTTCTTATTGAATTGCCAGAAATTCACAATTATAATAGTTAGTTTTGTGTTTAGAATAATGAATTATAACGATAACATAGAGATTGCATTTGCAACTTCGTTTTAAAATAATATCGTAACTTTAAATAATAAATTTCAAAATTTTACTTATGATAAAAGGGAACTTTGCAAAAAAAAAAAAAAATTCCTACTGTTTGCTAGTTTTATTAAAACATATTAAATTAATTTCAAAACATATTTTACCTAAAAAAATATTATAAATTAAAATGGTAAGTTTTTTCATATATTATAACTACTATAAGAGTTATTAAACTTATCTGATAAATAGTTTGTAATTGAATGATGATAATATAAAATTATATTATATTTCACTAAATTTTTGAAATTTAATAGCTTTTTATACAACGATAAAAGTCAAATTGCTAATGAAAACAGTGTAATATTTAAGTTATTGAGTTCTATGAACCGATTCGATGCAATTTTATGAGTTAGGACAAAAAGAAAGACAAAGTGTGAAAAAGCTTTGTTATTTGCATAAAACAAAAGTTATATTTTTACTGATTTTCTTACAAAAAGTAAAAAATATTATTATATAGAATAAAAAAACTTCGATAGGAACATTATTTATTTGTAATTATGAGGTATAAGTTGTAATTATTATTAATTGATTAAATTTAATTTATGTATAAATTAATATATAAATTTTTTAACGTTTATTTTAATTTTATTATAATTTTTTTTAATCTAAAAATACTTGTAAAGAAATTAGTTCATGTATGTTTTAAGTGTGGTCAAGAAAGTGTCAAATGGGTGGTGCAAGTTGTTTGTGGTTGGTTGCCACGCATCATGGCCAATCAAAATCAAACAAAGAAACATACATGGATTTGGCTCTTTTAGATGGTAAAAAAAAAGTTTATTTTTCTTAAGAGAAAGTTTAACCATGATTTCAAACTTAGAATTTGGGAAAATTATTTATTTAAGAGAGCATGTTAATCTTCAAAAGTGTGTTAAAAAAACAATTTTTATAACATTTTTTAAACATTTTCTATTATTAATTTAAATTTATTGGACATCGACCTATCAAAATGAAAAAAAAAAGGAAAATCACAAAAGTGTTCACTTAGGTTGGATCTGTTCAATATTGGATTTTCAGATTTAAAACTAAATCAAATTGAATGAAACGAAATATACTTGTTCATATCCAACGTTTGATTGCGCTTGTATATTGGTTTTCTTTCGTGAAATACAAACTAACCTAAAAAAACATTGTTCATGGTATATACTAGACTAGAAAAATTAAACAAAATGCATAGATGGAATAATAACAATAATGATTAAGAAACAAAAAAGAATGATGAAATCATGTGAATTCCAGCTAGCTGAGAAGACGCACGAGAAAAAAAAGGTTTAGACTTTCAAAAAAGTAAGATCACTCCTGCTTCCTTTTCTTAAGGATCTTCTTCAAACCCGCGAAATAAAACACCTTATTCACTTACACGTTATTTTTTTTAAGCCTCACATAATTTTAATGGAATGTGAAAATGAGGAGCGAATCAACGTATGCACTCTCTTTTCTTGTCCTCTTACTAACATCCATATTCATTTTCAATTTCGTGTACCCTTTTGATCGACAGTTCCTTTCTCGCTTTGCTTTCTTATCATCATCATATTTCACTCCCAACAAATCGCCACTCATCGAAGCCTGCGATTATTCCAGAGGCCGCTGGGTGTGGGATGAAATCTACTCACATCTATTGTACGACGAAAACTGTCCATTTCTTGATCCCGGATTCCGGTGCCGCCAAAACGGGCGCAAAAATGAAAGTTTTCGTAAATGGCGATGGCAACCTGATGACTGTGATATTCCCCGGTACGTGATATGCATATTGTCATTATGTCATGCACATTAAGTGTTGTTACTTGTTGCATGCATCCATGCATGGTTATGTATGTTATCATTCTTCAGTTTTCCAGAGCGTCTTACAATTTTGCGATAAAATAAAACCTTACACTGCCAACCATAATGGCATCATGTGAATCTTTGTATCAGAGAAGATAAGGGGTTTGGGTGGAAAGAAATAGTTAATGAAGGTAGGGAAAAGGAGAATGTGAAACTGTTTAGGAAACACCAGTAGGCAATGAGATCCTCGTTAGGTTAGGGGCTTGTCTGCGGCATAGTAAGTAATGACATGAATAATCTATCAATAGCAGTGCAATCGATTATAAACTAAAAGAAGGAAAATGTTAAGTTGAAAACCTCAGCCATCAAATATTCATTAAACAGCCTAGTTTTAATAATATAATATTGATAAAACCTTTTAAATTTATATATTTATTGTTATTATTATTATTATTATTATAATGAATTGTAGATTAGATATATAAAATGAATAGTGGTATCAAAATATCACCACCCCTAAAAGAAATAGTTAAGGTGTACGTGTACCCTTTAGAAGTGTAAGAGAGAATTAAGTATCGCTTGTGGAATTCAGGTAAGGAGCATAATCTAAAGTGGCATGATATTTTCACATCCTCCAAACCAAACAACTTCCTATACAACCCATTTTTATTAATATAATAATCATTTTTATTTTGACACTAGTGCTCACTTATCCAAAAGAGGTTATGAAATAAAATGGTTGAACATGTAACATTAAGTCAAGTTTGAAAGTTGACTGACATAATTCAAATTTTGTTGAAAGCATAAAAAAGGGGTATTAAGATTCCCCGTGAAAGTAACTAGCTAGCAAATGCACTTTTCTTTTAATTTGTATGATAATTCCTAAAAGTGATAAGTAGCTGATAGTAATTTCTTTTGAAACTCAGATTCAATGCCAGTTACCTGCTAGAGAGGAATCGCAATGGAAGAATTGTGTTTGCGGGTGATTCTGTGGGAAGAAACCAGTGGGAGTCTTTCCTATGCATGTTGACACAAGGGGTTTCTAACGTGTCCAAAATACATGAAGTGAATGGAAATCCAATAAGCAAACACAAGGGCTATCTGGCCATGAGGTTTCAGGAATACAACATGACAGTGGAATACTACAGGACGCCCTTCTTGTGTGTTATAGGTCGTCCACCACCCAACTCATCCAAACGTGTAAGAAGAACTATCAGGCTTGACGAATTGCACTGGTACTCCAAAAAATGGGCACGAGCAGATATTCTTATTTTCAATTCTGGGCATTGGTGGAACCCAGACAAAACTATCAAGTCGTAGGTCAACCACAACAATATCTTTTATAAAATTAGTCTTCGCAAATTTCTGATGAACTTTGGACTCATTTGAAGGAACATTTTTTTCTTTCAGAAAAAAAAAAAAAAAAAGATACATTAGAAGTGCTTGCTTTTTACCTTTCAAAAAATGATTCTTTGTAGACAGCTTCCGTATCCTAAAAGCTTCTTTAAAATGAGAAGCTGCTTAACTTTTTTTAAAAATGATTTTACAAATGTTACATAAAATAATGTAAAAATTAAAATCTTCTGCCTACGAAAATAACAGTTTTACAAGCTCCCTTACATTTTGCAGACGCAGGTACTTCCAGGAAGGAGGGAGGGTAAACATGACGATGAACGTGGAAGAAGCATTTAGGAGATCCTTACAGACGTGGAAATCATGGGCATTGCACAATCTAAATCCTGCGAGTTTCGTCTTCTTTCGTAGCTTTTCCCCCGTCCACTTCAGGCAAGTGCATCGACACAGTTTTATGGGTCTGACACTCAAATAAAAATCCTCCAATACAATCTTTAGGTACGAAACACGAAGAGAAAATTTTCTGCAGATTTTTACAGCCTTCGTATACCGATTTACCTTCCCGTTTGAGCAAAATTCTTACTGTCCCCAATCACCCTACAAAAGTTAGTTTTCGAAAGAATAAAGTGCTTTTTCACAACATCCCATACATCCATTAGGTGACAACATCAGTCAATCGGAGTATGAGTACATTAAGAACCCATTTGAACTCAAATGTATTGAGATGGATGGAAAGAAAGCAATTAGGATGTCACATGGGTATGTCTAGCATATAGTTCATATTGATGGGACTATAGCAGCAGTCAAACTCCAAGCAGACCCTAACAAAGTTCACCAGCAACACGGATTTCATGAAATACCCGTTTGTTTATGGCCGAATAATAAGAATGTTATGTGTCAAGTATTATACATATGCATATGAATAAGTCAAAATTGATAGTTCAGCAGTCAAACTTATGATGAAATTATGTTGTTCGGTAAAAACATGTTTCATGTAGCATGACGCTTTTTATTTTGGCCAAACAGGAAGCCAGTTTAATTAACTCACCTCAAAATTGTTTGACAAACTCGGTCAAACTCAGTCATCCAATAGTTTTTAGTGATTTCTTTTGAACACCCACGGTAAATTAGAAATAAAATTCAGAAAAGACAGTTAAACTCGAGATGAAATATGAAATCATATTCCTGATTCACCGCCTTCCCCTTTTCAGTTTAACAACTACTGTTCTGAAATTTGTTCTAATAAACTTAAAATATATGTAGGGGGAGGGAGGGCAATAATGCCAGCCTTACATTTGGACAAGTCTTTTACTATACAGTGAAATTGCAGGAATGGCACATGGAATGATGGAGGATGGTGTGACAAACAAACAGAGCCAGATAATGACCCTACAGAATTTGAAACTGAACCATATTATAACATATTTATATCTGGTGTCGTCAAACAGATGCAATATGAGAGCCGGAAAGCCCATTTTTTGAACATCACATATCTTTCAGAGTTGAGGATAGATGGTCACCCTTCCAAGTTTCGAGAACCAGGCACTCCACCTGGTGCCCCACAGGATTGTAGCCACTGGTGCTTACCAGGAGTGCCAGACACGTGGAATGAACTTCTCTATGCTCAACTCCTATCTGAGAAATTTGGCATCAAGAAAATTTTACCAGAAAGGGGATAAATAACAAAGCAGTCCAATTTTCATCAGATCAGAGAGAATAGTTTTGCTAGCTATACACAAATCGGCCTTGCTTCTGATCATTTATTGTCATCCACTTCCTCATCTGAGCCCATATCACCGGCTGTCATTTGCTTCACTTTCTCAAGTTGCCTCAAGAGATCCAATCTTTCTGGTGCATAAGTGGATGGAATCTGCAAGAAAGAAGCTTAGTAAATCCTTATGGCGTGATAATTATTGGAGAATTGACATCTGAATAGGAGATTAAAAAAAGGCAGCCGCAAGTCGTAGTGTGCATACTAGTGCTGGAACATATCTCTGAATAGCAGCCAACATTGCTGCATGCCCAACGGCAGTAACCTGTGCAAAATAAACATTTCTTCTTTAGTAGGTTACACAGGACCATTACACCAAGGAAAGGATCAGATCTAAGGTTGGAAAATGATAATTTACCAGTCACACATATGAAAGAGCAATAGGTTTTTAATCTTCCATCTTTTCTGCATTTTCTATACGCAGTAGTTCTTCATTTTATATATCCAGTTCAATATTTACATGAGAAAGAAGAGTTATAGGGGTAAAACAAATTAATTGACCATGCCAAGTTTGACAGAGTCAGATTTATTAGAAAAAAAAAAAAACGGAAAAAACAAGAATCTCTCGCTTATACAGGATCAGTAATTAAATTGATTGACCATCGATTCAAAAGCAGTACCAAGCCTAGATATATATTTGTCTTGAAATATGAGGGCAGAAAGATTATATATATATATATATATATATATATATATATATATATATATATATATATATATATATATATATATATATATATATATATATATTATTATTATATATATATATATATATTATATTATATTATATATATATATATATATATATATATATATATATATATATATATATATATATATATATATATATATTACTTGATGATTCCCAGAAGGAACATGCTCCAATATGGATATATTGGCAAATCCTAATAATAAATAATGAAACCAGGAAATATGGCAATACAATATAATTACAAATATTAACAGGATATGTACGAGAGAAAAGTTATTATATCCGAAATTGGATTTATTTACATATTTCAACACTCCTCAAGTTGGTGAACTGATGACAGTCATTCCCAATGCGCAGGTTGTTGAAATCACTCTATAGGTAAGCCCTTAGAGAAAATTTCATATGGTTTGCCAAAGGGAAGTTTAAGACAATATACAGCACCCAGTGGCGGATCTTCTTGTGAGCTGAGGGGGCCGTGACCTCCTCCAAAGTTTTATAACTCCCATGTAATTTATGATTTTGGTCCCCCAAACATAATGAACATTTAATATATTTACTAGTATATTTACAATTTTATCTTCTCAGTCCCTCCTCAGTTTTGTAACTCTCATATAATTTATGATTTTGTTTCTCTCAAGTTTAATGATCATTTAATATATTTAAATATATATCTACAATTTTATCTTTTTACCCTTTTATATTTTTTATTTCTTTTATATTTATTTATTATTTATTAATAATATATTATTTGACCCCCCCAAGATCAATGGTCAAGATCCGCCACTCACTGCAAATAATTTCTTCTATTTAGGGTTTACATTTGGCTACGAATAGGAAGATTATTAGGGTTCAAAGGTGCAAGGGAAGCGATTATATGAAGGCCTGAAGGTACCAGTTAAGGTGTTGGTGGCAGATTGCACTCAGAGAAGCAGCAAAAAAGGGGTAAATGAAGGTGCCAAATGCTGCAACAAAGGCAGCAAATAGAGGCCACAATTAAGGTGCCAAATACAGCTATGAAAGCAGCAAATAAGGGCATAACGAAGGTGGAACATGCAGTAATAATGAAGGGATCTTTTTTCTTTTTCAGAAGTAAACCTTCCTCCAAAATAAATAAAAATTAGGAGCTATGATATCATCAAGAAATATGAGGATAATACAGTTATTCTAATAAGTACAGATACTGTCAGGAACCGGGCAGTCTGAATAGGAAAGAAAAGCTAGCAATACAGTGTTTCGAACACACTCGATTAGCTGAAATTTATTGGAAACTAAAATTTTTTGTTGAACTCCCTTCACATTTAATGAGTCTCTCTCCTGATTTTGTAGTTTTCAATAAATTTTAACCAATAATAGATTGTGTTAGAAAGAATGTGTTAAGGCATCTCCAATTGTAAAAAAAAAAAATTATGAATTTCGTTATGCATAGAAGATTGTTTTTTGTGGAACCCACGTTGTCATGTCACAAATATGAAATTTTATCACATTGTGCTTCAATGGTAAGTATAGAATATAGAGAAAGTTACAACTAAAAGAGTAACTCAAAGTAAACAGAATAAACAGAAGATATTATTTGATTGTGGTTATCAATATCTAACAATATCTTAACAATATCTAAACAATATCTAACACTCTTCCTCAAGCTGGAGCATTGCATGTACCAAACTTGTTACCAATATAATAAATTCTAGGCCCCCGTAAAGACTTAGTAAAAATATCTGCTAACTGATCACTTGAGTTAACAAACTCAGTCTTGATGTCTCCAGACATAATCTTTTCTCGAATGAAATAACAGTCAATCTCAATATGTTTGGTCCTCTCATGAAAGCCAAAATTAGAGCTAATATGAAGAGCAACCTGATTGTCACACACATGTGTCATTTGAGTGATATCTTCAAATTGTAACTCTCTAAGCAATTGCTTGAGCCAAACAAGTTCACAGGCAGCTGAGACCATAGCTTTATATTCTGCTTCTGCACTGGATCTTGCCACAACACTTTGTTTCTTACTTTTCTATGAGATTAAGTTACCACCAATGAAGACACAATATCCAGATGTAGATCTTCTATCTGAAGGAGATCCTGCCTAATCAACATCTGAGTAGCAAATAACTCTTGTATGGTTATTAGAACCATATAACACTCCTTTTCCATGAAATCCTTTAATATACTTCAAGATACGAATGACTGCATTCCAATGATTTTCATATGGGGAATTAAGAAATTGACATACCACACTGACTGCAAAGGATATGTCAGGACGAGTAACTATAAGATAATTCAATTTTCCAACCAATCTTCTATACTGCTCAAGATCAGATATAGGCTCCCCCTGATTTGGTAGAAGTTTAGTATTGGGATCCATGGGTGTATCAACAGACTTTGAACTCATCAACCCAGTTTTCTCCAAAATATCCATGACATACTTTCTCTAAGATATAACAATACCATCATTAGACTGTGCCACCTCAATACCCAAGAAACATCTAAGTTTGCCAAGATCTTTAGTTTGAAAATTGTGACAGAGATGTTTCAACTGAGAGATTCCATGGTTGTCACTACCTGTAAGAACGATATTATCAACATATACTATCAAGTAAACACATCCAGCACTCGAGTGTCGATAAAAGACAGAATGATCTACTTCCCACCGAGTCATACCAAATTGTTGAACAACCTTGCTAAACTTTCCAAACCAGGCCCTAGGAGGCTGTTTTAGGTCATATAGGGAATTGCGAAGACGACATACCATCTCAGAAGACTCCCCCTAAGCAATAAACCCAGGAGGTTGCTCCATATAGATTTCTTCTTGTAAATCATCATTGAGGAAAACATTTTTAGCATCCAATTGATAAAGAGGTCATTGTTGAAGAGCGACTGATATGAATCACAAGGGATAATTTAGGATTTTTAGGGTTAGAACCTTGTAAGAAATTTAGAAATTGGAAAGAAGGTGGAAGGAAAAAATACTCTTCCCAAGGGAGGCAACACACAAAGGATGTGATAGTCCTTTGATATAGCCAAGAGTTCTTGAATCACTCAAGAATTTAGGAGAATCACTCTCACTAAGATAAAAGAGATAAACTCTAATATTTCTGAATAAAATTTCACTTGTTATTCCTTGATAAAAATGGTACAGCTGATATAGAAGCGTTGCCATCAGAATTACAAAAGACTCAATAAAAGAAAATAAATACTAATAATAACCCATTAATTTAGGAATTGAAAACTATTTAATGGAAACAAATAAAGGCTAATAATAATCCATTAACCTAGGAATTGAAACTACTTAATGACTGATTGTATCTAAAACTGTGGCAACCAAAAGTCAATCAGCTATGCACCCCTTGGTCTCCCAAAGGCTGATGACTAAATTTTCAATTGGGCCCTTATTACAACTTAAAACAAAATCAAACTAAAGCACATTAATTGATTAATTCAAAACATAATTTGGTCAACCAATAATATTTGTTGAAGAACTTCCTTTATTTCCCTTGTTCTAGCCCTTATCATAGGTCTTATTCACATCATTCTCTCTCTCTTGAAAAGGATTTGTCCTCAAATTAGATTCGCCATCTAGATAAAAAAAAGATAAGTCTAACAAATTAAATGTAAAATTAACATTATACTCACTTTTTATGGCTAAATAGTTCTCCCTCACTTCAAGTGTTTCACTTTTCTTTTGATCACTCTTTTTTCTCTCAAGTGTTTCACTAACGCTTTCTTTCGCTCTCTCTTCTTGAAGAAGTTTTTCTCTCATTTTCTTTTTATCCTCACACACTTCTTGTGGACTCAAAGGTTTGAGCATAATCTTCTTGTTGGTGAACCCGTTATGATTAACTCTTTTATCAAACTGCCATGGTCTCCCCAAAAGTGACTGACTTCCATAAGAATAATAACACAAAACACCTTATCATTGTATTTTCCAATGGAAATGTCCACTTCAACTTGTTGTCTCACTTGCACCTCTCCATCCTTACTAAGCCATTGAAGTTTATATGGCCTAGGATGTGGTTTGGTAGCTAAATTTAGCTTTGATACTAATCTAGCACTAGCCACATTGGTGCAACTACCTCCATCTATGATCATCACGCACACCTTGTCATTGATTAAACATCTAGTGTGAAAAATATTTTTTCTTTGACTTTCTTCCATAGGTTTCAATTGACTATCAAGTAATCGCCTAATCATCAATAAATCCCCTTTTGGAATCTCTTCCTCCTCAATGTCTTCACTCTTTTCTCCCTCTTCAACCACAAATTCACTTATATATTCTCCCTCTCTAAGAACCATGATCTTTGTGTTAGGGCACTCATAAGCATAGTGTCCTAAGTCTTGACACTTGAAACACTTCACATCTCTATTTTTTTTAGAGGGTTGTTCTTCATATTTTGAATGAGTCTTTGTAGGAATAGGTGTGGAACTACTAGAAACAGTCCCATCTTTCTTGCCTTTGTCCTTCCAACTTGAAAATCCAAAGTTGGTAGAACTCTTCTTAGTCATTTCTTTTCTTTTGAGTTGTTGTTCCACTCGAATTGCTTTATGAAGTAAATCCTCCATATCAACAAACTCCTGCAACTCAACAATATCACATATATCAATATTCAAACCACCAATAAATCGGGCCATAGTTACCTCTTCATCTTCTTCAATCTTTGCTTGAATCATGAGCATGTCCATTTCTTTGAAATACTCCTCAACCCCCGTGTTGCCTTGAGTAAGTTTTTGGAGTTTAAATTTCAAGTCCCTTGCATAACTAGCCGACACATACCGCTTCCTCATGATCCTTTTCATCTCAGTCCATGTATCAACCATTGACTCTTCATTTCTATCTCTCTCCTTTTGTAGCTTGTTCCACCAAACAAGAGCATAGTCAGAAAATTCCATTGTTGCAAGTCTCACCTTTTAGGTCTCCTCATAATTGTTGCATGAGAAAACATGCTCTATTTTCATCTCCCACTTCAAGTATGCCTCTGGATCACTTTTTCCTTTGAACGGAGGAATGTTAAGCTTGACTCCTTCAAGCCTACTTGGTCTTGCTACTTCATAATTCATTCTCCTATTTCTCTTTTCTTCTTCGTCTTCAGGATTTCTATTCTCCAACTGGTTCAATCTTTCATGGAGCTCATTGTTATGTCGTATCATTAATCTTTCCAAATGTTGTACCAATACTCTCATTTGTAATGGACTAATTCCTGCTTCTTGATTGTAATGTTCCTCTTCTGCCATCAATTTGATGTTTAAACCCTTAAACCAGGGCTCTGAATACCAACTGATATGAATCACAAGGGGTAATTTAGGATCTTTAGGGTTAGAACCTTGTAAGAAATTTAGAAATTAGAAAGAAGGTGGAAGGAAAGAATCACTCTTCCCAAGGGAGGCAACACACAAAGGATGTGACAGTCCTTTTGATACAACCAAGGGTTCTTGAATCACTCAAGAATTTAGGAGAATCACTCTCACTAAGATAAAAGAGATAAACTTTAATATTTCTGAATAAAATTTCACTTGTTATTTCTTGATAAAAATGGTTCAGCTGATATAGAAGCGTTGCCATCAGAATTACAAAAGACTCAATAAAAGAAAATAAATACTAATAATAATCCATTAATCTAAGAATTGAAAACTATTTAATGGAAACAAATAAAGGCTAATAATGATCCATTAATTTAGGAATTGAAACTACTTAATGACTGATTGTATCTAAAACTGTGGCAACCAAAAGTCAATCAGCTATGCACCCCTTGGTCTCCCAAAGGCTGATGACTAAATTTTCAATTGGGCCCTTATTACAACTTAAAACAAAATAGTACCATCAGGTCCAACTTTGATAGCAAACACCCACCTGCAACCAACAACAAATTTCCCAGACGGTAACAGGACCAATTCCCAAGTTCCACTATTATGAAGAACACTTAATTCATCTAACATGGCCTGACGCCAACCAGAATGGGCTAAAACTTCATGGACAGTTTTTGGAATAGTCACAGAAGAAATAGAAAAAAGACATGTATAAAAAGGTAATGACATTCGATGATAACTTAAAATAATATAATGGGGAGAGGGATTACGTGTAGAACGGATACCTTTTCGGAGGGTAATGAGAATGTCAGACTCAGGTGTTAGATCCGGAAGAGACAGAATAGTTGACACTTGAGTGGAGTCACATGGTGGTGGTTGTAATTGGTTTCTGCAACTATAAACCTGAAGAGGCGGTGGAGAAGAAGTTGACTGCAGAGCAGGAACTAATGGTGAAGAAGACACAGTTAGAGGGTCACAACAGGAACATTAAATATACTAGGAGTGTTGACAGGATTGGATGGAGACAGAGGTGAATATTGACTTTTAAAATAAAGAGAGAACTCATCAAAAGTGACATCTGCAGACAAAAAATAACGGTTAAGAGAAGGAAAAAAATATTTGTATCCTTTTTGTGATCTTGTAAACCCTAAGAAAACACATTTATGTGATCTAGGAGAAAATTTATCAAGACCAGAACTGAAATGATGAACAAAACATGTGGACCCGAAAACTCTTAGAGGTAAGGGATGAAGTGGTTCATGAGGGAATAAAATGGAATGAGGTATTTTATTATCTAAAATCGAAGAAGGCATGCGATTAACGAAATAACATGCAGTAAGAAGAGCATCACCCCAAAAATGTTGAGGAACCTCTCCATGAATTAAAAGAGTGCGAGTTATTTCAATAAGATGTCTATTTTTACGTTCAGCTACACCATTTTGTTGAGGTGTATAAGCACAAGAAGTTTGATGCAAAATATCGTGAGAAGCCATGAATTGTTTAAAAAAATGAGAAATATATTTATGGTCATTATCACTGCGCAAAACTCTAATAGAAACATCGAACTGAGTTTGAATTTCATTAAAAAAGTTTGAAAGATATGAAATAATTCAGAATGATTTTTCATTAAAAATAACCAAGTGCATTTGGAATAATCATCAATGAAAGTAACAAAGTATTGAAAACCTAAAGTAGACTTAATGCGGCTAGGTCCTCAAATGTTAGACTGAACCACGAAAAAAGAGGACGAAACATCACATGTGACATTACAAGGAAAGGAATTACGACTATGCTTGCCTAATTGACACGACTCACACGTCAAACTAGACAAGTTGGACAAGGCAGGGACAAACTTCTGTAACTTGGCAAGACTTTGATGACCTAACTGAGCATGAAGAAGAGAGGGAGACTCCATATTTACACCAACATGTGTAGAGGAACGAAGATGATAAAGACCATGAGACTCACATTCTGTGTCAATCACCTGTTTCGAGCTCCGGTCCTGTAAACACACAGAATTGTTGGTAAAAGAAACAATACAATCAAGAGAACAAGTTAGACGACTGATGGACAACAGGTTAAGAGGAGACCCAGGTACATAAAGAACATTATCAATGGTTAAAGAAGGAAAAAGTTTAACCATTCCAACACCATGAAATGATACTCTAGAGCCATCAGCCAGTGTAACAGAAGGTAAAGGATTAGGAAAGGATAAAAAGGAGAACAAAGATTTGTTACCAGTACTATGATCAGTGGTTCCTGAATAAAAAATCCAAGGACCAGGAGAAGAGGATTGGGTTAGACCAACAAAATATGTACCTGTGTGTGCGACAAATGTAGTGGAACTAGAAGATTGTTGATTCTTATACCATTTGAGAAATTTGTTGAACATAGTAGATGTGTCAGATGCAATAGAAGAAGGAGGATCCCCAGCAGACAAAAGTGGCGAAAGATCGATCTGAACAACTGTAGCAGATCGAGGAGGATGACCATGTAATGCATAACACTTGTTAATCTTGTGACCTAGTTTGCCACAATGTTCACACTTAGGATGTCATTTTCCCTGTTTGCGAGGGCGAGTCCAGTCATCACGATGAGATGCCAATGCAGAAGAATCATTAATAGAATTGGAAGTAGTAGAAGGAGTGGAAGAAGTCATGAAAGGTGGAAGAACAAACCCAAAAAAAAAAATTCAAAGTAATCCAATCAACCCACGAAACACAGATCCAAAATGAGAAGACCAAAACAAGTCCGTCGAGACTAAATGGTGCAAAAGACAATGGATGACCAACTTTGATAATGGTGATCTTAATGGCACGATGGTCGCTTGACCAAGACGAGCAAAACTATATATTGCTAGTAAAAAATGAAACTCCGATGACGGCCCTGACGGTGGCAGCGAAGGCGGTGACAGTGGCGATAACAGCGACAACAGCGTGAACCAGTACACTAAGTAAGTTCCCAGGAAAGAGAGGTGGGTCACTAATGGACATGCTTAAATATCAAGTCTTTCCTTGTCAGAACCTTCCTAGACATGCACTTTCACATTACCAAATAATATCCAGTAACAAAAATAATTTTTTTTTATGTGGAAGATCAGTTTAATCGGCAGTGGCGGCAGTGGCGGCTCTATTGGACAAAGACGAAAAAATTTCAAAATAACCTTAAGCTCTGATACCATGTTGAATATAGAGGAAAATAGGGTTTGAGATTAATCTCCCTTGTGTATAAATCACACACAGGGTAATCTATTTATAATAGAGAAAGGTACAACTAAAAAAGTAACCGAAAGTAAACAGAATAAACAGAAGATATTATGGTTAACAATATCTAACAATATCTTAACAATATCTAACAATAAGAAACCTTAAAATCCCTTAGTGTACCTTTATCTTCCCCAAATCCCTTTCTGTTTCACTACTACAAATAGAAAAGAAAAATGATTTAAGCAACAGTTACTTGTTGAAGTAACTTCGGTAATTTTAAAACAACTTGCGTTGCCATATTACATCTCTCCCAATGATAAAGTTGCTTGAAGCAATTCCAAACAATTCTTCAATAAAGGGTAAGCATCTCATCGGAGATGCTCGTAGAGATTGTGTTGCAAGCAATCCTCTAGAAAAAAAAAAAAAATAAGGGATTAATTCTGCCTTGAATACAATGCCTAACTTGCAGAATTTGAGGGTCGAAAAGTCCTAGTGCCCAACAACTCCAATTCTCACAAATAACAATGTATTATCTCCTGTTCCCTTGTCATTTATAGGCAACATGCCTTACTTCTTTAACCAACAAACTTAAATATTCACTAACTAGTGTATATTTATCAAGGCTTTTACCTGATAGCATAACTTTTAGTAGTGTTACTCCTTGACATTTAATTATAGCCTCTATAATAGTATTCTAGAGTTTGATCCTTGTTACATTGATCTTAAAATGAATAGGAGTTTTAATTATATTGTGGTATAAATGGTCTTGCGCATTCTCCACTTTCCCTGGTGTTAAGAAGGTGTGCATCGTAGGTGTAAAAAATACATTCATGAATATTCCATGATGCTTTTGTGAGAGCTTATTCTTGAGATGGTATTAGAGCTTCACTAATTAAGTATTTATATGTTCTTCGTTGTACACGGTAAAAGTAGGTTGCACAATGTCCATACTTCTAGCCAAAAGGCTTGCATGGGGAATGTTATACAGAGATATAATGAAGTTATTCAAAAATCTTCACTGAACAGCTTAAGTTTTCAGGGAAGTTGGTTCATGATATGTTAATAGGTCAATAGTTTTGATCCTTGTGTCTCCATTCTTCTAATCCAAAGTTGAAATTTAGCACATGGTAATAATCGACTTGTGCATTGTCCAAGCCACAAATTCAAAGGGCCTTGCATGATGGGGCATGTTTAAGATGTAAAGATATACATGAGTCATTAGAGGTTGAACATGATGTGAATTATTTATACTTAAACCATTTTTTTGTTTCTTTTGAAATTTAGATTTGCCAAAATATGAGGGGGGATTAAAAGGATCTAATCACATTAACCATATTTAGACAATGATTTAGAATCCTAACCTACTTTTAATGGGACTCAGTGATTATGAGCGAACAACATGCTTCTCTAAACTGAACAAGACATGATTCAAATATAGAAAATGAGAACAATAAAAGGTGTTCTACTCACTGGAAGCAGCATTAAAACACCAATGGGAACAACGGAAGCCATGTCAGTCAAAGTTCTTTTAAGTGTTTTCTTCTCCTTCTCAGTCAATTCGTCCCCTATCAGTGCCCTTCTAAGTAAACCCATGGCAGCAGTAACATCAATAGCAAGAAGCTGAGTTCCTTGCCAGACATCCTGCTTATTCAACAGTAGATTTCAGATCTCAGATGTTTATAAAGATATAACAGATGACTTAATTCTAAATTTCAACATCAATAGTATCAGAGACACTCCAATTTTTTCAGTTTCTAGGGGGCGTGACGGGGAGATGTTGATTTCATCTAATCAATGTGTGCTGATGCAAATGAATTCATAAACCAAATAAAAGCAAGATAATCTTTCCAAGAAAGAAAAGCCAGAAGGATAAATCATACTGTTCCGGTTTCTTTTAGTTTGCCAATAGATTTTTCCAGGATATTTTCTTTTTTCTCAACCCTGGCCATCTGGACAACCCCAGTCTCATCACTATAACGAGCACCATCATCAGCAACCAGCAAATCCTGCAAAAGAGATATTCAATGCTCAATCTAAAAAACAGTCAAGGTAAAAAGAACTTAATGAAAAGGACATACAGACCAATTACATCCTGGATCTTCAAAAGTCGTAAGAGAGTACAGAGCAAAGTTATAGACCAAAATCAGGTTTAGGCAATTATAACTCTGTATTAAGAAGTTATAATGTGAAAGATGATGATGTATTATTGTATGACAAAATGAATGTTAAAATAAGTGTTTTATTATATTATTGTACAACTTAATATAGCTGTTTTCATGTATGTATCTAGCTTTAGGGTTAGGGCTACATGCTGAATCATTTTTTCCCCTAGTTTTGTACATGTACTCTCCTTATATATATCATATATACATCAGTGGTTCCAACACACTGATTTTCAGTCACTCTTCAAATTCAAATTGGTATCAAAGTGGGAACAATGCCACTCTCTTTACACCTGTTGCTGGACCACTTCTATCTGCTATCTGCCACCATTCGCCTAGTCTGACACCAAAAGTGGCGGTTGTGTGACCAAAAGCCTCTAGAGACCTGCCCCAGGTTGATCTTAGTTACTGCTGTGCCAGGTGCATATGTCACATGCTTTGCCTTCCCGCAATTAGAATCACACTAGACCACCACCATTCTCCTCGATGGCATCTTCTTGGTGCATTTCTTCCCTTGGTTTTATGTTTCAACCTTCTTGAGCCGTGGGTGAGGTCTCTCTCCTCATGACTTAGGGTTTATCCTCTTCTCTCCTCATATATGATTCCTTTTCCGTGTCCCTGAAATGACTTTAGTGGATTTTGTCCCTTCCTTTTCCACTACTCCAACTATTACCACTACAAAACTCAACTAGAAGAACTACTTGTCTTGGTCTGCCTATGTGGGGGAGATTCCTTAGTCAAGGATATCATGACTATTTGTAAACGAAATATTATTCTATTTCTGACATAAATCGACCTCAGTAGCAAAAGATTGACTTCCAACTACGTCTGGATTTATGGCAGTCTTAAAGTATTAGAACAGGCTTAGGATAGACTTTATTAAAAAGTTGCTTTTTGCGTACATATTTGTATTTAGGCCTCTAAATGTGCCTTTACTTGTTCATCACTCTATCTCTCATCATAAATAAGAGAACAGAAGAGAGATTAGATTAAAATGCTCTCCAAAATACATTTTTTCCTTTTTATTAATCTCAAGTTAAAATACTCGGATCATTCAAGACATGTTATTTTTGGATGAAACTGAAAGATATTTTTGCTAATAACATTCAACGTCTATTTAATGCAACCAGAGAGTAACTTCCCATACATTCATATTTCGATGATATATGTGATTAAACTCTTTTTGGTGATCCAATCCCTTCAATGGATTATTTAGTCACTAGACTCCTTTGTGTGACTCACTTAGTGAAGATGAAAATCTAGCTGAAGTTATTGAAACTTCATCAATGGTAGCATCTCATGGAAGTGGATGAGGTTGTAGGAATCATGAAGGATGTGGTGATATAAGTGGACATCCTCAATGTACATGTTGCAAAAGAATGAGTCATATCCAAGAAAATTGCTACTCCTTGCATGAGTTTCTAGATAAGGCAGGTCATGTGTCTAAATCTAAAAAATTTGATTCCATGTGCATTGAGGCTCAAATCTGAGAAAGCCAATCTTCATCAATGCCAAGTGTATCAACAACTTGTATTTCTCAATCTAGGAAAGGTCATGGAACACGGATTCTTGATTTAGGTACCTATGGTCACATCTCTAGTAATTGTTCCTCATTCTCATTCATTTCTTCTTCAAAAGTTCCTCACTTTATTCATGTTGCTAATGGATCCAAAGTTGCATCATAAGGATGGTTAGGTTTCTTTGTCTCTTCATTGAATTTAAATTTTGTGTTGTTCATTCCTCATTGTCCTTATAACTTAATCTCTCTAATCCAATTGACTCATTTACTAATTACTTTATAACTTTTGATGCTAACTTCTTTGTTATACAACATGATATAGATCATTCGATAGGCACAATACATGAATCATGATATCTTCATCACCTAAACCGAGCCCACTTGTGTCTTGTTTTGCAACTTCAACCCCAAATCTTTTGCATGACAATTTGGGTCAACTAGGTTTATCAAATTGAAAAAAATGATTCCTAGTTTCAAACAACTTCATTTTTAGATTGTGAAAGTTAGGTCACCTTTCCTAAACAAACTGAAAAGCGATGTAATTCTGTTGATATCATATTTGAGGACCAAGTTGTGTCACTTAATTTGGATTTAGATATTTGTAACCTTTATTGATGAATTTTCTCGATGTACTTGGGTTGAAATAAAAAAACCAATTGTATTCTATTGTTTTTTTTTTATTTTTTTTATTTTAATGGCTAGATTTAATAATAACCATAATAAATGGTCAGGATTTATTTAACAGGATTCTTCTGTTCAAATAGGAGAGGATCCAAATCCATTACATATTTGTAAAAGGTAATTAAGGTGCCAGATTGTTATTGTTTGTGTTTTAAGGGGGGAAAGTAGAAACTCATTGCTAGGAAAAACCCTGTGCTTCTACTCAAATCTGGCCTCAAAACTAGATTATTTTTATCATTATTTTGAATTCCTTGAGTCAAATACAAAGGCTTCAAATATAAATTTTGAAACCTCAAAAAAACACACTGGAATCTATCAATTTTGATATCCTACATGTGTGGATTGTCAGAGCTTGGCCTTTGCATCATTTAGTGGATACAAAGACTATAAATCAAGAGAAAGTAATCATAGAAACAAAAGAAAGGATGAAAACAACAAAACATGCATGTATCCCAAGCCAAAAGCAATGGTCAGTTAAAAAAATCTATACTATTTTACATTCTTTCAGCACCAATCTGCAACAAAGATCCTTGTAAATCAATAAGAAATTTTTTATGATAGAACTACAATTAGGATGAGATAGCCGTACAGGTAGGGTGATTACTGACAATGCAGTTACAAACAATAACAAAGCTTTATCACTAGGTGAGATCAGCTACATGGGTCATACAACACTATTTGGTTTGGTTAAAGACCAAATCTTCAGATATTATTTACAAATGCACTTACTGAGCAAAGCTTTGTAAGTAATATAAAATCATAAACTTGTAACTTTATGAATGATGCATACGTACTTCATTATTTTCTGATTGATAGGCACTTCTTTGAACCCGTTTCTCAAGTTCTATTAGCTCATTACGCAGAAGCTCAAAGCGGCGGATTTCATTGGATTCTTGGTCCACAACCCCAACATTTGGTGCAGGCTGTCCAATATTATTTTCCTTCAATGAAGATAGAAAGTGCCTGTTACTCAAGTTCCACACAGAATCCACTCACTAATTGTAACAGATGAAGCACAGACCAATTCAAGATATTACTAGGCAATTCAACTAATGCAAAATAAATTATGTTTTAAGCTTAGCATTTTGACATTGTAAATTTTGAAGCGAACAACAGTCAACACATTTGCAGGGTCTAAGCAAAAGGTATAAAAAAAATTAGGGTTTATAAATTCTTGAGGTAAGTTTTTTTGAGGTCAATTTTAATTTCTACATGGGAGCTGCAGCTGTTTCCTTCTATGTCTCACTAATCTAATTTATAACTGACCATCAAAATTCAGCTTGTCCCCATCCTTGAATGTGCAAAGAGGCTAATCCACAAGTTGACTGATAAAGGGTGCGTTGCATTATGCAGTTCCATACGAGGCTGCTTCCTAGGTGCAGAAGAAGGGCAATAGAGAGGCTTGTGCCTTGAGTGGCTTGAGGCAGGGTGGGTTGCAACATCGATAGAGTAATTATTTCTCCTTATTGCAGTAAAACAATTGTGTCATGCAATCTGGCAATTTGACACAATTATCCACACTAAAACACTTAATAATACCTAATAGGCATCTAATCTAAAGGGGTTTCAACTCCCATCTGTACAGAATATCTAGTCACTTATTTTAATTGACTATGCCATTTATCACTGAATCAAACATTATATTTAGACATAACCCAATAGAATCTCTATTGTGCCACCAATCAAACATTGATTTTTCATTCTTATTTCAATTATCAAAAGTGATTATAATTAGACATGAAAATTAGAAAACAACTAGAGAACATATAATAATAATGCAACACAATTACAATGAACATAAACTAATACATTTTTTATCACAATAAAAGCAAAAACATCATTGACCTTGACATTATGAGTTACGTTGCACTAATGGTACCAAAGATATGGAGAGGATATTAACATTATCAAATTATAAGGACAACAATGCATACGTAAGGATCCACATCAGACTCCAAGCCAGGCTTTTTGGTGACAGGACCTCCAAAGATGCTCCAGAATCCACGGGATTTTCCAACACTTCTGGAGGAAAACAATATTCTTATCATACAAATATAAAACCAGAAAAATAAAACACTCCAAAGCTAGAAGTAATAGCTAACAATTGTACTTTCAGAAACCAGCAACTAGACATTCATACCTTTTGCTCCTATCCACCCTTACATTAGCATTCTTTCTACTTTTTCCTTTTATATACTCGTCTTCTTCAACTGGTGTGTAGGTCCGACCACTGTTAACACCCTGCATGAGTATAATAGAAATATTATAGACAATAAAACAGATTCCTAAAAAGCAAACAATATGTTACTAGTGTACCAGGGAGGAGTCAAGCAAGACAATGAATTATTACGCAAGGAAATAATAAAAATAATAATAATTAAAAAAAAAAAACACAACCCAGAGGCATGGCAAGAAGCAAACAGAGTTAAGAAAGCATATGCTACCAAACTTGCATTCAATATTCACCAAGTTTTTAAGCAAAGAAATATAACAAAACCTCAAGTAGTGATTTAATATAAGGGATGAAAAACAAAGGGAGGCACAAGCATCTTCCCCACAAATTACACAATGCATTTCAAGTTATACATAAGAGTGTGTTAGTGCGTGCAAAAATAATTTGAGTAACTCATAGCTGGGCCATGACAAGTGTCTTGCTACTATATGGTTGGTGCCTGTTATTTAGCATACAGCTGAGTGGTTAGTGTTGGTGCTAGTGGTTTAGTAGACAGCTTAGTGTCAGTAAACAGACAGATAGTAGACAAGTAGCAAGGGATCAGCTATCAAGTGTATTGTACTTTAACTTGTATATTTCCAAATATGTAAATAGATCATAAATCTTTTATGCAATAGATTTTTTCTGACATTAATAAAAAGGTACAATTTATATTTCTCAGATCTCAATCTCATCCTACCTCATCTCTCTTCAAATCTAATATACAACATATTTTGGTTATCTTAAAATAGAACATGTTATTAGATTTAACCAAGTTATAACTTTGGTCATCTTAAAATACACTAATAGCTTGCTACCATACTCTTTCTATAAACGTGTGGGTGTGTATCAACAACTATGATTGCCAGGATACATCACTTGAATTTTAGAAGGAATATATCAGTAAATCATAGCATTTTTTTAAAAAAAAAGAAAAGAAAAAAAGAAACCCACAATATAGCTTGCTAAAATACTTTCTAAAAGATAAGTGAGTGTACATTAAGAAAACCCATATATGAGGGCATATCTAGTGAGAATATCTTCCTTATGAGAGTGAGAAAAATGAATAGTGATCATTAGATCTTGTCATGAACGATCAAGTGATAAGTACCCATGTACTTGGGGAACCCACCATTAAAAGCTAGCTGCTATTAAGGGAGAAGAACCAAACACTTAAATACTCCACCAAACATCTTATACTACTCAATGTAGGACTCACGCACTCAGGTGGCTTCACTCTAGGACACTTCACTCAACTCTTTAATGGTAAGCCATTGATAACTTGCTCTGATACCAATTGATAAGTATCCAAACACATGGGGGACCCACCCTCAAAAGATAACTATCAAGAGGGAAGAATTAAACACTTAAATACTATATTGGGTAACCCATAATACCCTAGTTCCTATCATCAAGTTTAAAACATACAAAATTATGTGAGTTTTCTTTTAAAGGCCACATGACTTTTAAATGGTCACATGATATTCAATTTTAACCATTCATGTAGAGTTATACAGCCTAGATTTACCCCTCTCACCTCTCATAAAAATTATCATCTCACCAGACATGACCCACTCCCAAAACATGTGGCTTTTAATTGAGCCCAATATCATGTGATCCATGTAGCTGACCCTACTAAGCATGATAGGGCTATTAAAAAGTTAAAGAAGTGGTTAGTGTTAGGATCGAACGCTTACCACTTGGCCAAAAACTATAACTATTAGTCAGAACGCAATTCTTTTTACTACGATTCAATTGTGACTCAGCCCACCCGGCCTCTGCCACGGGACAATCGATGCTAACTGCAACAGTTTCCCCCTCAGCAATTGTCCTACAAGGAATCCCACTTTTTGATTGTGACTCGCCCACCCGACCTCCGCCACGGGACAATTGTGCAATTAGCAACAATCTCCCTCTCAACAATTGCCCACCAGAAATCAAACTCGTGACCTTGGTTCTGATATCAATTGTTAGAATCGAGCGTTTACTACTTGGTCAAAAGCTATAGCTATTAGTTAGAGCGCAACTCTTTTTACTTAAGAGTAACAGTCCAAGCGCCACGATTCGATTGTGACTCGGCCCACCCGGCCTCCGCCACGAGACAATTGTTGCTACCTGCAACAATCTCCCCCTCAGCAATTGTCCTACAAGGAATCACACTCTTGGATTGTGACTCGGCCCACCCGGCCTCCGCCACAGGACAATTGTGCAACCTGCAACAATCTCCCCCTCAATAATTACCCACCAGGAATCGAACTCGTGACCTTGGCTCTGATACCAATTGTTAGGATCGAGCACTTATCACTTGGCCAAAAACTATAGCTATTAATCAGAACACAACTCTTTTTACTTAAGAGTAACAGCCCAAACGCCACGATTCGATTGTGATTCGGCCCACTTGGCCTCTGCCACGGGACAATTGACGCTACCTGCAACAATTAGGTTAGTGAATACTATTTTATTTTATAGGTTTTTGATCTACTAAATAATATCTAAAGAACATATTTTTTATTGAAAGCGATACACCCAAATTCAGATCATTGTGCTTAGCTTTGACTAATGTCGGATTCATTTAGTTGCCAAACTTCTATTAAAAAAAATCTAAACTTTTAAATGTTGATTTGGATCTTCCATAAACACATTTAACATCATATTGGTCCTCTATTTATAACTAGTAAAATGAAAAAATAGCCCTTTAATGCCAATGAAGGCGATCAAACTGGTCACTCAGTTCCATCATACTGATATTTCAGTGGACCAAAAAAAACAATATAATTTCCCTTTAGAAACCAAATCAATGTCTTCTGTATGCGACAAATGCAACTAGTGCCAATTACATCCTTGTATGCTGAGGCGATAGGGTGATTCTTGCTATTAAAGCTACAATCGCTAGAGGCTAGACTAATTTATGGATTGAGTGTGATTCACAACTTGTAACTCATGCCCAGTCTAATAGTACTATTGTTCCTTAGGAGCTTTGTAATAGATGGCTTAATTGTTTCATAGCACTCTCATTTTTATTAAAAAAATTATATCTTTATGATACTAACTTTTATAATTGGACCCCTCACTAGTTAATTTATGGATTTGTCCATACATATATCAAAGTATATATATAATATTTAAGGTATAAAATTATTTGGAGCTAGAAACTGGAAAAGATTTCCACTTTCAAGGAAAACTAACAACTTAAGATAAAATAAAAGAGAAAAAATAGTTTTTAGAGGGCTTAATCACACCTCTAGCATGATATCTTGTTTATAATGATAAGAACAAATACACTGAGCAAATGGAAGGTCAAGGGGCAGAATTATGAGCTAGAAGATATAGGTACAGAGATAGGTACAACTAATTAATGATTCCAACAACCAATTAATAATTCCAATAAAGCAAAAGACATCTTCATACTGACAAGGACAGCTTTGTGTATTATCATCAGTTAGCTTGTTTGTTATTATTATTACAAAAATTTCCTTCATTACTCTTTGTACAAAATTTAAGTAGATTGATTTCCACACTATATGTATTTAGGACTGATTTTCATTTTTGTAGTAAGCAGGCCAGATTTGATAGCCATAATTCTATGATAGATTTTATTATCAAAGACTTTATATGTAGTAACCCGCATTGTACAGTTTGGATTATTAGTGTGTGAATGATTCAACGAGATCCACCTATGGCAGCTATCTTTTGGGTATCAGTTTAGAAGTTACAGGTTAGTTTGACAGCTGTCCCCAGCCTAGGCAGTTAGCTCTATTATAATATCTCAATGCATCTGTTAAATGTATTTTATATATATATATATATATATATGTGTGTGTGTGTGTGTGTGTGTATGTTTTCTGCTGTGCCATCACAGGACTCTACCATTTCTCTGTACCACATCATTCACAAAATTAGAAACTGACTCAGTTCTTAATCTCCTTTTTCTAGTGAAAGTAAACTTAATTAGTTTAAGGGTAGAGACATTCATTATGCATTGTTCCAAGGAATTGATCAAGGAGGTTAGTGATGGGTGGAAGGTGTACCTCTTGAAGAGAATCAGCCTTTGCTCTGAAAGATGCCACCAGGAATTCAGCTTCTTTCCAAAGTTTTCGTATTTTCTCCAAGTCAGAACAGGCTGCTTTCAAATGCTCTTTTCCAGAACTAGAGCTTGATACATGCAACTCTTCAAGCAACTTTTCAAGTCTTATCACACTTTCTTCAACACTTTTCAAAGCCTAAAATTATATGCCAAATAGAAGGCATAAGCAAGAATCAGATACATCAAAATAAAAGGTTTCAGAACCATCTACAGTATGAAGCAAAACATATTGTCAGAATCCCTTTGTATATATTATTCTGTTTTTATAGACACTACTTCCTTCTATAGACAAGATTATAATTCAATAATTAGGAACTTGATTACCTGAATATTTTGTATTTTTGTGCAGGAATCATTGACCATTACACAAATTGAGAGTGGGTACAATGATGAAAATTAATTTAGTAGTTTCCTTTTTTTAGATGCTCTTTTATTCTATTTAAGAGAACACTTCTATCAAATACAATCAGAAAGTTTTCTACTGACAATAACAAATGACCTGTGCAATCTCTAGACACAACCCTATGAAAAAGTTAGTGGCAGGAAAGAAACAAAACATTTTGAATTGGAGCTGACCATTATTTAAAAAATCTAGCAAAACCAGATTCTGACACCTTTTCTGCTACTTTTGTGCTAACTATGGCTTTGGTGTTCATCTTTCCTTGTAGGGTAGTCATCCACTGCTTGCTGTAAGTGTATTATATAGCCATGGCACTGATGGCAGATGATAATGCACTAGTACCATGTTTTGAAAAGACAGTTCCAGTATTGAAAGAAAAAATTTAAAAGGAACGGTGATAGAACGGTCAATACATAAGCCAAGTGAACATATATCTCTGCAAGTACTGTGACTATGTTCTGGCTTCTTTGATTGCATTACAAATAATTACCAATGTAAACCATCTTCTCAATTATATTATACTTTTTTATATCCCTATAAAAGGCTAACCACTAATCACAAGTTAATAACTAAATTAACAAACTTAGAGAAGCATCTTGCTTAAATTACAATAGGAAAAGTGAGAATTGAACTGCATCGGATAATTATTCAATGTTTGTTGCACACTGTAAAAGATCTAATTAGATATATGTAATAAGGAAATTTGTAGTCAGGATATTCTTCAGATTTTCTCCATGTACTTTTTCCTTTGATTATAAATAAAGATTGAATGTATGTAGCAATCACACTTTCTGCAATCCGTTTTTAGGAAAGTTTAGATTTTATCTTGGATTGTATGCTTATTCTCTGTCACAGAATTTATTTGTTGTTAATGCTAAGATTATGTATTTAGAATAAATTGCATAATTATAAGGATTTGTCTCCCTAGAATTAGCTGTTTATATTTCCCAAAATAGCTAACAAGGCCATGTACATATAAGTCCAATGACCTAATAATTTGATATGACAAATAAAATATTCTTCCTTCTAAATTTGAGATGGTATCAAAGCTCCTGATCCTAGGAGCCTCTGTCCGCAGCCTCAAACCCTAAATCTCTACCACCACTGCTATGCAACCTTGACCCATCGCAGCCTTCATTGCTGTCTTTGTTACTCACCGCAGCCTTCATTGAAACCCACCACAACCTTTATCGTTTCCTGCCTAGCCTCACAGCCTTAATTGCTATCTTCCTAGCTTATCACAGTCTTCATCCATGGCTGAGATTGTGAATTCCATCCCTGAAACAAATTCCAGAGTGTTGGAGAATTGCAGAATATTCATTCTGTTTATTGCTTATCAGCTAACCAGGAAGAATTATCTTAAATGGTCTCAACTCATTAAGACCATATTGAAGGGAAAAGGAAAGGGTAGTCACCTTACCGACAATGCCCCTTATGAAACAGATGCCAAATTCAAATCATGGGATTAAGAAGACTCCATGATCATGGCATGACTGTGGAATTCAATGGTACCAGAAATTAGTGATACATGTATGTTCCTTAAATCAGTAAAGGAAATTTGGGAAGCGGTAGAACAAACCTATTCCAAGGCCAAGGATACTGCACAAATATATGATGTAAAGGTGAAAACCTTTGGGGCCAAACAGGGAAACAAATTGGTCACAGAATATGCCAATCAACTCAAGTCTCTATGGATGGAATTACATCACTATCGCGTTATAAAAGCAGGGTGTTCAAAAGATTCAACAATCCTTAAGGATTACATTGAACAAGATAGGGTTTATGATTTTTTGGTAGGCCTGCATTCTGAATATGATCAGGTCCGAATCCAAATTCTAGGAAAAGAGAGAGTCTCAGTACTTAATGAAGTGATAGTCATCATTCAAAGTGAAAAAAGTAGGCGAAATTTGATGTTAGAAACCCCAACTGTTGAGAGCACAACCATGGTTGCTAACCAGAAGAAAAATGGATTTCCCAATATGGAGAAAAAACATGAGGAAGTATGGTGTACCTATTGCAACAAGCCATGTCACACACGGGAGAAGTGCTGAAAATTACATGGAAGACCTCCAAGTCGAGAATGGGGTTAGAAACCTCCAAGCCGAGAATGGGGGCATAAAGGAGATCCTCAGAAAAAGGAAGGACAAGGTCAAGTACACACTGCTAACGAATATAGTGAAGAGGTTGGTCAGCTAAATCATGAAGAGATAGAAAGGGTAAAGTCCTTTCTGAGTAAATTGGAAAAGCCCATAGGTACATGCTGTTTAACATATCCTGGTAAGTTTCCGCTTTCTTTTGGACTTAATATTTCAGATACATTATTTACCTACTCTTGGATATTAGATTCTAGAGCCACAGACCATATGGCATCCTTACCCAAATACTTTTCCACATATGCTCCATGTCCTAGCAACAACAAAATTTCCACAACACACGGAACCCTTATAACAGTTGCAGGACAAGGAGAGATCCAAATAAACCCATCCATAACATTAAAAAATGTCCTTCATGTCCCTAAGTTGTCCACCAATCTGATTTCTATACAAAAGCTTACAAAAGATCTCTCATGTAATGTTGTTTTTTATCACAATGCTTATATTTTACAGGACAAGAACTCAGAGAGGATGATTGGACATGCTGGAGAATAGAATTGTCTGCACTACATAGAGGATCCTAATATGCCTACCAAAAGTCACCCTCTTATATTTGAATCCACCATGACCAACAAAGAGAAACTTCAACTATACCATTGTCAAATGGGACATCTTTCGTTCCAAGTTGTGAAAGCAATATTTCTTTCCTTGTTTAAGAACTTAGATGTGGGGAGTCCACATTGTGAGGTGTGACTTTGCTAAACACAAACATGTACCTTTTCCTGTTAGTAATAAAAGGAGAGAAAAGAAGGTCATTCCAGATTTTGTTCATGTCCAAGAATCCGATCCACTACCACCTGCACTACATGAGGTAACCTATTTTAATTCTATAAATAATTCTAATGAGTGTGTTGCTGAAATTCCAAAAGTATATAGGAGGACCAAAACTTTGACCTTGACCTACCCATTGCAATTAGAAAGGGAGCCTGAACATGCACTCAACGACCAATTTACCCTCTATCAAATTTCCTATCCTTTAAAAAAGCCTCTCCTACCCATAAAACACTTCTCACAAACCTAAACACTACACCCATACCTTCCTCTGTATTTGAAGCATTGTCTGACAGGAAATGGAAACAAGCCATGGATGTAGAAATGGAGGCGTTAAACAGGAACAATACTTGGGAATTTACCACTTTATTAATGGGAAAAAAAACCATTAGGGTGCAAATGGGTATACACTGTGAAGTATAGAGTAGATGGGACCATTGAACGTTACAAGCAAGGTTAGTAGCCAAAGGATTCACTCAGACCTATGGAGTAGATTACTGAGAGACTTTTGGCCTGGTTGTTAAGATGAACACGATTAGAGTAATATTGTCATTCGCAGCAAACCATGATTGTGACCTACAACAGTTTGATGTGAAGAATGCATTCCTACATGGAGATCTTGAAGAAGAAATATACATGGAGTTACCCCCTGTTATAATGAACAGGTTGCTAGTGGAACTGTTTGCAAGCTAAAAAAGGCTCTATATGGGTTAAAGCAATCCCGAGAGCATGGTTTGGAAGATTCACCAAAGTTATGATAAGTTTGGGCTATAAACAAAGTCAAGGTGATCACACTCTATTTATCAAACATTCAATTTCAGGGGGAGTAACGGTATTACTGGTATATGTAGATGATATTATAGTAACTGGGAACGACAAAAGGAAGCAACAAGAGTTAAGTCAATGCCTTGCCACAAAATTTGAGATTAAGGTACTAGGGAGACTTAAATATTTTTTGGGAATTGAAGTGACCCATTCTAAGAAAGGAATCTTCATATCTCAACAAAAATACATTATTGACTTGCTCAAAGAAACAGGTAAAAGAGCTTGCAAACCAACAAGTACTCCAATTGATCCAAATACAATGATAGGAAGTGCAGAAGAGATATTGTCGTGAATAAGGAAATGTATCAGAGATTTGTGCAGGCTTATTTACTTATCCCACACTAGGTCAGACATTGCGTTTGCTGTTAGCCTAGTCAGTTAGTTTATGCACCAACCAAAAGAAGTACATTTACTAGCTGCCCTTACAATTATTCAAAATCTAAAAGGGACCCAGGAAGAGGGATTTTGTTCAGACAAAACAAGAGTGTAAGTATTAAAGCATATATGGATGCAGATTATGCTAGGTCAGTTGTGGATAAGAGATCAACTACTGGATACTGCACCTTTCTCGTTGCAAACTTGGTGACTTGGAAGAGCAAAAACAGAATGTAGTGGCTAGATCAAGTGTTGAAGCAGAATTTCGGGCAATGGCCCAAGGAATATGTGAACTTCTATGGTTGAAGATTATATTGGAAGACCTGAAGATAAGATTGGATGAACCTATGAAGTTATATTGTGACAATAAATTTACAATTAGTATAGCCCACAATCTGGTGCAGCATGATAGAGCCAAACACATTAAAGTAAATAGACATTTCATCAAAGAAAAGCTAGATAATGGCTTGATTTGCACTCCACATGTGTCCACTCAAAATCAACTACAGATATACTCACTAAGGGCATGCATTGTATCAACTTTGAAAGAATTATATCTAAGCTGGGAATGGAGAACATTTATTCACCAGCTTGAAGGGGAGTGTCAAAATCTTCACTCAATGTGTATATTAGGAAAGTTTAGATTTTATCTTCGATTGTATTCTTGTTCTCTATCACAACAATTTATTTTTTGTTAATGCTAGGATTATGTATTTAGAATAAATCGTATAATTATAGGGATTTGTCTCGCTAGAATTAGTTGTTTATATTTCCCAAAATAGCCAATAGGCTCGTGTGCATATAGGTTCAATGAGCTAATAATTTGGTATGGGAAATAAAATATTCTTTTCCCTTAAATTTGAGAGCATCAGATATCAGAAGATTATGATTCATTCCTTTCCTCGTCTTCTTCCTTTCTTCACAGGTGAACAGTACCATGCTTCCCTCCACTTTTCATCGACACCCATCCCCAACAACTGTTACACAGCTTCAAAACACCATACACCAACAACCACTCTACTGGAAGCCATGGCACACAAACCCATGCACACTTCCTCTAGTGTGTGATGTTCATGCGAGTGCACTAGATCAAGGCATGAACACTTTTTCAGCAACATCTTACTGGACTTTCCCTACCTCCAATGAACATACTCAACCTGTACTCTAGCTTGTTTGGTAAGCTTTTCTCATGGCCTCCTCAAATGAGTCCTCTACCTTGATCTCACACTCTTGTCATTGTGGAGGATGTTGTGTATAGTGAGGGCCATTTTGCAAGAGTCAGCCTTGTTGCAATTATTGCAAACATTTTAGCCATATTGATGTATAATGTCACACCAAAATCCGAGAACAATCGAAGACAATCAATGTTGTCCAAGTCATCAACCCTACCCCAAGTGCAGGGCCACATATAAAAAATTTGGATCCTAAGACAATTTTTTTAGGGAAATTTAATAAAATATGTTAGACTCTCATATCAACTAGAGATATGGTCAAATTATAATATATAAGTAGGTACAAACCTTACTTACAAGCCAGTTTTGTAAGGTTTAATGTCCACTTTCTAAGATGGTATCAAAGCCTATCCTAGCAAAGTTTGTTGTGCCTATCATTTCACCCACACACTAGATATATGATCAAATTATGTTATATTAATAAGTGCAAACCTCAGTTTATAAGTCAATTTTGTGACATTGAGTTAGGCTAAAAGTCCACTTTCTATGATAACACAAATTATATAACTTTATGTTAATATTCTAACTTTTTGAGCTCCAAAATCACTCATCAATGTTTCATAATAAAAAAAATTTAACAATTCACTATCACAAAAAAATTGATAATTCATTCAATATATCTTGTAACATTAGGATTAAAGTAATTTTATTTTGAAAAAAATATTTCTACAGTTGCAACAGTTAATGGTATTTCATATAATATTTCATAAGAAATGCATATACCGGAAAAATAATTCAATATTTTAATATATTCTAGTATTTCTGTTAGAGTGTTAATTTCTTTTCCTAATAACTTTCGTAATAATTTCAATTCGAAATAAATCAAGACAAAAAACTTTTCAAGATTAAGACCATACTTTTGCAATTCATCCTCATGTAAAAATTAAACTTTTTTAGATTCATTTGAAGTTTGAAATAAAATTGTTGAAAGTCCCACATCGCCTACCTCATATCATTTGGTATGGTTTAAATACATGTTAGGCTACTCCACATATTGCCAATTGGTTTTATGTTGGAACCTTAACATGGTATCGAGCCAAAGCCTAACATCTTTCCGGTTATTGTCATGGGCCAAAAGTTGCCCTTTAGTTGGGTCAAAAGTACCCTTTGCCTGGTCCGACGAGCTTCGTTGGAGGGGTGTGTTGAAAGTCCCACATCGCCTACCTCATATCATTTGGTATGGTTTAAATACATGTTAGGCTACTCCACATATTGCCAATTGGTTTTATGTTGGAACCTTAACAAAAATAATAGTCATTAATTGTAGTGTTAGTAATGATTACACAATCAGAATATCTAATATTTATATTTATTAACTTTATCTAATTATATGATAAACTAGAATGAAATTAATCAATCGTAATTGTTGTTAAAAAATGAATTCTAGTTAGCTTCTTATTATAATAATGAATATCCAGTCACAAATAAGTATATTTCTACTATAAAATATATATACCATATGTATATAGAAACAATTAAAAAAGCAGGGCCTAATTGGCCTTTCATTGTACACTACCCAACTGTGGATGTTACTATTTTTTGGCTAACTATTATAAGTTTTACCAGCTCCAGGCAGCCCAACTGTTAGCACACCAAATGAAGCCTTATAGTATTAGTTGAATTTAGAGAGTGAGAGAGAAAGAGTAGAATTTCTTAAGTGAACCTGATGGATTTTACAGTACTTACGTTTTACAGAACATCTATCTATCAATAAACTCGCAACAGACTAAGTAGTTATAGAATATCAATATCTATATATAGAATCTTAATAGACTAAGTGAGGCCTGTGATTAACTTGGAAGCGGCAATAATATCAAATTCAAATTTTGAAAGTGGGAATCAAACCTCATCAAAAGAACCTGATTCTTTTATAGTTGACTGAACTGTAGATCTATGTCCACGAACTGTTTTCTTGGCTTCAGTCTCCAGGACGTTTTCCCTGCGTTATATTTAACAAAAATAATAAGTGGCACATCTTTGGGAATGAGAAACTCTATAAAAGTTCAGGTTCACAATCCCTGGAATTCTAGTAAACACTATAAAATATAAAATACATTGTATAGACTATCTTCAAAAAAATGTTGCCCCATTCAAGCCAATTAGTTCAACATCATATGGTATTTGCACTGCTTGCAATGGTAGGTGACACTTTGTACCATAATATGACCATTCAACCCATATACCCTCCCTTGGATAGGATTTTCATCCCCCCATCTCTCCCAAGTTAAACGATATTTGGTAACCATATCTAACTGACACGACACTGATATATGAAAGCTAAAAGGTCACACTGTCATGACTAACCTCCAAGTTTATTTCCTAATCGTCTCAAACTTTAACAACATACATTTAACTACTATCATGTGTGCTTCAGAAGCACAAAAACAGGATGTCATAACAATTTTGAACCATAACAGAACTAATTTCATTGGCTTAGAGGACACAAGAAATATGCAAAACTTAATAATCAGTGTGCCAGTTTCCAAGGTTTGTTATTCTAGCCTGTAGATTCAACTCTTGGCCTTCCATTTGTCTTCCACATGTAATTATTTATTTGTTGTAGTATAATCACATGCCATATCCACTTCCTTTTATGTCATTGTACTTGTTCAATTTCAAAAAAAGTAAATTCTCCTGTAAACAAGAGTGCTTTTTAGGATATATTTTGCTGTGCAATAATAGATTTTATATTGAAGTTATGAATTGTCTATTATGAAAGCTAAAGTTGATGAAATACGCATATTATTGGCCAGTTGACGAAACCAAGCACCTTTGGCAACCCTCCAAATTTGTTGGTCATATTTTGACAAGACTATAAACCAGAAGCATTTGCAACTGTAACATGCAGTTACTACACTAGTTTCTTTCAGTTGTTCCTATGAAGCTTTCAGCTATCAATTAATTTCCTGGTTTTTATTTTACCCAAAAATGTATGGTTTTAATGCATGATATGGTGTTGATGGATATGTGAATGCAACTATTTGAGTGCAAATACCATCATAAATGCAGAATTTCATTCAAAGCTTACCTAATCATCCCAAGTTCTTCCATGCATTCCATCAGCTTCTTGTGCCTAACATGAAAGAAAATACATAAAAGAATTTATAAAATGGGTAGTATTATGTCGAACTATGAACAACCATTGTTCCAGTTACCCTGTTGACAGAAAGTCAGCGGCTTTCACATTTGAAGGGCTCTCTGGCCATGTACTGTATTTAATAAAACTCTGAATCCAATGAGAGCAAACATCAAAAGCTTGGGGCACAGAATCTGCATTTGGAGGACCTTCTTGTTTATTTCTATGCATATGAGATTGTTTTGTAACACTGGTGATTCCCGGATAAAAAGGAAGCCAATCCAACTCTTCACAAACTACCTATGCAGTCAATGGCCTTTTACCAGTTAAAATAACAAAATGATAAGCACGTCTGTCAATTTTAAAAACCATAAATACTAACCTCGACATACAATTGATAAGAACTAATTGATGAGAGCTGAGGGTAGTATAAAATACTGCCTCCAATAAGATACCTGCAGCAAATAGTTATACAAATAAACAAATGCATAAATATTCATAGAATGCTTAAAGAAAGATATTTTTGTTTCTGAATTTGATGGGAAACAAGAGAAAACATATTACTACAGTGATATGGTGTAAAGTCACTGTGAGAAATCAAATAGTATTTTAGGAAAGAATAAATAAGGAAATTTGTATATTTCTTTGTAATCTGTACAGATTTGAATAATTAGGAACAATCCCATAAATCAAGGGATCCTAGCATAAAATAGAGTTATTATATTTCCTAAAATAGTTTAGGTCTCTTGTATATATCTTATATCATCTCTTTGTATTGAGATAATAATAAAAATCATATTTCAGTTAATCTATTTTTCAAGATGGTATCAGAGTCAAAGCCTAACATCTTTCCGGTTATTGTCATGGGCCAAAAGTTGCCCTTTAGTTGGGTCAAAAGTACCCTTCGTCTGGTCCGGCAGGCTTCGTTGGAGGGGGTGTGTTGAAAGTCCCACATCGCCTACCTCATATCATTTGGTATGGTTTAAATACATGTTAGGCTACTCCACATATTGCCAATTGGTTTTATGTTGGAACCTTAACATGGTATCAGAGCTTCCGATCTAGGAAGCTCTGTCTGCGCTCGATAAACCCTAAGACGGCAGCCTGCATTGCTGCTACATATTTTGTAACCCTAAGACTGGCAACCCGCATTGCCGCTGCATTTTTCTTAACCCTAAGACTAGCAGCCTACATTGCTGCATTTTTCTTAATCCTAAGACGACGTACTCGCATTGTCGCCGCATTTTTCATAATCCTAAGACGACGACTCGCATTGTTGTTGCATCGCACCTTTTGCTATAATGTCAAGGGAAGAGGAGATAGAAAGGGTGAAAACCATTCTTAGTAAGCTCGGAAAAACCTACAGGTATGTGTTCTTTGGCATACTCGGGTAAGTTTCCACCTTCTTTTGGATTAAATGTCTCGGATACGCCTTTTAACCATTATTGAATATTGAACTCTGGAGCCATAGATCACATGACACCATTAGCCAAACACTTCTCCACATATTCCCCATGTCCCAAAGAACAAGAAAATTGCCACAAGCAGATGGAACCCTTATAACCGCAACTGGTCAAGGAAATATCCAAATCAATCCTTTAATAACCTTAAAAGACGTTCTCCATGTCCCAAAGTTGTCCACGAACCTAGTGTCTATACAAAAACTTATAAAGGATTTGTCATGTAAAGTTGTTTTTTCCAATGATCATTGTGTATTTCGAGATAAGAATTCTGGGAGGATGATTGGACATGCTAGAGAATGGAATGACCTTTATTATCTCGAAGATCCAAGTCTCGCTCAAAGAAGAATAGAATTTCTCACTCCTTCATATCTCGAATCCTTGATGACCAACAGAGAAAAAATCATGCTTTATCATTGTCGGTTGGGACATCCCTCTTTTGGAGTGATCAAAATTATATTTCCCTCTCGTTTACCAAGTTAGATGTTGAGAGTCTTCATTGTGAGGTGTGTGAACTTGCTAAGCACAAACGTATATCTTTTCCAATAAGTAATAGAATTAGCAATTTCCCTTTTTATCTTGTTCATACCGATGTATGGGGACCTTCTAATATTCCAAATGTGTCTCGGTACTCGATGGTTTGTCACCTTTATAGATGACTCGTACAAGGGTCACTTGGGTTTTCCTACTTAAACAAAAATCGAAGTCGGCTCTGTCTTCCTAAACTTCCACTCCATGATAAAAAATCGCTTTGGTGTTAATATTAAGAGGCTTAGGTCGATAATGCCAAAGATTACTTCAATCATGTCCTTAATTCTTTTTGTCAAAAAGAAGGTATAATTCATGAGTCCTCTTGTGTCAAAACACCACAACAGTAATGGGGTCGCAGAGAGGAAAAATGGACATCTATTAAATCGGACTCGGCATTGTTGTTCCAAAAAAGTGTCCCAAAAAATTTCTGGGGAAGTCTGTCCTTACAAGCAACATACCTTATCAATAGACTACCCTCTAGAGTCTTAGGATCAAAAAGCCCTATGGAAGTTTTGTCGTCTTTCTATCCAAACTTGTCTACTACAAATAATCTTAAACCAAGAGTTTTTGGGTGCATCTCATATGTCCATATTCATAGTACGGACGTGGGAAAACTTGATCCTAGAGCCTTAAAGTGTGTCTTTGTTGGTTACTCACCCACTCAAAAAGGGTATAAATGCTACCACCCCCCATCCAAAAAATTCTTTGTGTCTAGGGATGTTACCTTCAATGAACAAGAGGGTTATTTCCATCAACCTTATCTTCAAGGGGAGAGTTTCAGGGAAGATAAGGACAGTAGTGATTCTGGTTTTCCCATTCTTCCAGACTTGACATTTGAACCTAAACGAAATCATATTGAAAGTAGTAATTCTGGTTTTCCCATTCTTCCAGACTTGATATTTGAACCTAAACAAGATCAAATTGAAGATCAAATTGAAGATCAAATTGAAGTTGTAACAAATAAAACAAGTCAAGGAATTGGTCAAGCAAAGGAAGTTGGTCAAGAAAGTGAAATTAATTGTGAAGCTGATCAAGAAGATGTTGAAACTGGAAAATTTGGTAAGAAGTCGGTGTACTCAAGGAAGACTAAGGCCATTCCAGGATCAAGCCATGTTCAAGAATCCAACTCGACTCCACAAAAAGAGGTAACAATTTTTTCTCCAACTGTGCGAGTTGAAATTGAAACCCAAAATGATCCCGACCTCCCAATTGCCATTAGAAAAAGAACAAGAAAATGCACCAAACAGACCACTCTACCCTCTCTCAAATTACCCGTCCTTTAAAAATTTCTCTCCTACCCATAAAACCTTCCTAGTAAACCTAAACACCGTACTTCTACCTAATACCCTATCCGAGGCATTGTCCGACGTAAAATGGAGGCAAGCCATGGATGAAGAGATGGAGGCATTGGAGAAAAACAACACTTGGGAGTTAGTCACCTTACCAATAGGAAAGAGGCCAGTTGGATGTAAATGGGTCTATACAAGTGAAATACAAGGCCGATGGATCAATTGAGAGATATAAGGCAAGACTAGTTACCAAAGGGTTCACCCAAACCTATGGAGTTGATTATTTGGAGACCTTTGCTCCGTTGCCAAAATGAACACAGTTAGGGTGATATTGTCCCTTGCTGCCAATTATGGTTGGAACTTGGAACAATTTGATGTTAAGAATGCTTTCCTACATGGAGACCTTGAAGAAGAAATCTATATGGAGATACCTCCGGATATGGTAAAGATGTTGCTACCAACACTGTTTGCAAGTTGAAAAAGGCATTATATGGGTTAAAACAAGTCCCCGTGCATGGTTTGGCAGTGTTTACTAAAGTTATGACAAGTCCGGGTTACAAACAAAGCCAAGGGGACCATACTTTGTTTTTTAAACATTCCAAGTCGTGGGGAGTAACAATATTATTGGTGTATGTGGATGACATAATATTAACTCGGAGATAATAAAGAAGAGCAACAATTATTGAGTCAATGCTTAGGCAAGGAATTTGAGATCAAGACTTTGGGAAAACTAAAATATTTTTTGGGAATTGAAGTTGCCCACTCCGAGAAAGGGATATTTATATCTCACAGTAAATACATCATTGATTTGCTCAAGGAAACTGGCAAGGCAACTTGCAAACCTCGCTAGTACCCCATTAGAACCAAACCTAAAGCTTGGAAATGCGTAAGAAGATGTTGTCGTTGAAAAAGATATGTACCAAAGATTAGTGGACAGACTTATATATTTGTCACATACCAGGCCGGATATTGCCTATGCAGTGAGTTTAATTAGCCAATTTATGCATAGCCCAAAGAAGACCCATTTACAAGCCGCCTACGTAATTTTACAAGTACCTTAAAGGAACTCCGGGAAAAGGGATTCTATTCAAAAGGAATGGTAATGTGAAACTTGAAGCCTATACTCGATGCCGATTATGCAGGGTCAATTGTGGATAGGAGGTCAACTACAGGATATTGCACCTTTCTTGGAGGAAATCTTGTGACTTGGAGAAGCAAAAGCGGGGTGTAAGTGGCTCGGCCCAAAGGTCGAGCGTAATTCCGAGCCATGGCACAAGGTATATGTGAGTTGCTATGGCTTAAAATCATCTTAGAAGACTTGAGGATAAAGTGGGAAGAACCTATGAAGCTCTATTGTGATAATAAGTCAAGCAATCAGTATAGCCCACAACCCAAGTGCAAGCATGATAGAACAAAGCATATTGAAGTAGACATGACACTTCATCAAAGAAAAGCTTGATAGTGGCTTGATATGCACTCCATATGTGTCCTCTCAAGACCAAATTGCGGACATTCTTACCAAGGGACTGGGCTGCCATAATTTTGAGAAGATTGTATCCAAGCCGGGAATGGAAAACATCTATTCACCAGACTTGAGGGGGAGTGTGAGAAATCAAATAGTATTTTAGGAAAGAATAAATAAGGAAATTTGTATATTTCCTTGTAATCTGCATGCATTTGAATAATTAGGAACAATCCCATAAATCAAGGGATCCTAGCATAAAATAGAGTTATTATATTTCCTAAAATAGTTTAGGTCTCTTGTATATATCTTATATCATCTCTTTGTATTGAGATAATAATAAAAATCATATTTCAGTTAATCTACTTTTCAAGAGTCACTAACCTAAAACAATTATTTATATTAATTATCTAGGTCAGGTACAAGTTTTGTACTGTTGAGAAGAGACTAGTTGTCAAGTGATAGCTACTGTCAGATAAAAAGAAAGAAAAAGTCATGTAAAAAACTTTTTTATGCATTCTGAAAACCCTATGCAGGAGTAGGTTCTCCTAGTCTGAACCTATCATCTCAATCTTCTCTTGAACTCTCTTCTGCAATCTGATATATATACTACCGCTGCTGAGAGAAATACTCATTCAAGCATTCTTCACTTAACCAAATATTCAAATAGTACAAGCTCAGCCTAAAAGCCACTAGCATGTCCTAAAACAATAAGAAACATAATGCTTCAACAATAGGGATAGCATATATACAAGTTGTACCTGATGAAATCTTCGATTGGATCATCTAGAGTTTCAAAACCATTTGTCAAAAGAAATGACCTTGTGCTTCTGCCTAAAGCAATAAAGAACCCAAAAACAGCCAAATCCTTCTCCAATACCTGCACTATGCTAACTTTCAATTGAAGCATTTTGTAACAATAAAACACGTACACAAATGAAAAGGGACTTAGATATATTATACTCAACTAAACTCATCTCTTCACTCCATTTTTAGTTCCATTCACTGAAAATTTTCTTTTGAAACATTTGATGATTATGTCATAGATTTTGATTGATATTTTAAGACTTTTTTCCATGTTTCTTAGTTATCTTATTAAAGAGATTGCTGCATCATATCTTAGATTTAGGGATGACTTTTTTTTTGTCTGTATATCGTTTATCTTATTAAGGAGGTTGTTATATTATATTTTATATGATGATAAAATGATGCAGAAAAAAATTGTTGATGCAGTTTTGCTACAGTTGGAGCAGTTACAGGTTGACACAAGGAGCAATTTCACACATGAGAACACTTGGTTTGACCGCTAACTGTTTCTAGTTATAACCCAGTGAATTCAAGTCCTGATCAAGCCCATGAACAGCATTTAGCACATATATGGACAGTATAAATTATTTAATGTAAATAATATATATATATATATATATATATATATATATATATATATATATATAGAACAGCAATCATCCCACTAACTGCTATCCCAATTTTGGAGTTGGTCACTCTACGTCACTAACCAGGATTAATAACTAAGATTAGGCAGTTATTTTTGGATTAATTTCGGTTTAAGAAGTTATAGGTTATTTATGCCGTGAAAGTTATAAAATATTAATCAAGTTGTGTTAAACATTTGTAGAAGGTAATTAAAATGTCGGATTGTTATTTCTAGTGTTTTGATTGACGGAGGAAAATCCTTGTTAGGTGAAACTTTCTGTGTTTGTTGATGTTTGTACTCAACCTGAGCGTAAAAAACCCTTAGTTTCTATAATTTATTCAGAATTCAGTGTCACTAGACATTTAATCTAGCATCATCTCTCTAGAATGGACAAAAGCAAGCTTTCTCCAAAATTGATGTTAACTAACCTCAATACTTTCAGATGTTGTCAATCGTGACCATATTTTCTCCTTGTCAATAGCTTGCTGTAGCTGCCTCTGAGCAAGATTTACCCAGAAAACAACTTCTTCTGAACCCCACTTCTCTTTTGCTCTACATGAGGCAGCCCGAGGACCAAAATGTACAAGAAATTCTCTATGCAGACCGATATTCTTTATAGAATTATATGCTTGACTTACAGGAATCAAACCAACTAGCATGTCCATCAAACTACCAGTTATTTCTGTGATCATTGAAAAGAATTGTGAACAAGAAACTTGTGTCGGACCAAGTTTAGCAATTGCAGCAATACATGTTAGTGCCAGCAGAAGAAGTGACATGTCACTTGCACAGCTTAAACCCATATTTTTTCCAGACCTGGGAATTCAGTTCAAAGATTATTAATTAATGCATTTGCAATAAATAATAATAATAATAATAATATAAAGGAAGGAGAACTGACCAGTAACTGTTAATATCTAAGTATATAGATAAGTTAAGAGAAAACATACAATGGAACAGCAGCAGCAAAGCGTCCATCCCCTTCTAACTTATTAACAAAGGATGTCACTACAGCTGGAACTTGCTCAGACCAAAACCATTCATATGCTTCAGGGTGTTTGGCTGATAATTTTTCTCTAATTAAACTCTCCAGGGGAGAAGATAGCCTCAGCAAACTGAATCAATGCAACATTTACAATTTTATGCTCAAAACTACCAGTGAGCAGTATAAAATACTGAAAACTACACAAGATGAAAAATGTAAAAATATCCATAAATGGTTTTGGCGATCAAATACACAAAAGGCAATCAAAATGGTTTAGAAAATTAAAAGTATACAAGCATTTTGCGGGTGAACAGAAAATTTTGAAATTAGTATGTTTGATTTGAAACTTCCACATGAGAGGTAAAACAAAAGTTACAACCTTAAACAAAGGTTCAAAAATTCAAACCAGATGGTTCTCATATGAACTGGCTAAGAAACACAAACTCTGACATGGATACTAATATACTAAGGTTAAAAGAGTCTTGCCCCACACACATGCAGATATATATATATATATATATATATATATATATATATATATATAAAGAGAGAGAGAGAGAGAGAGAGAGAGAGAGAGAGAGAGAAAGAGTCTAATGAAATAAAATGATTGACATAATAAATACTCCTTTTTAAACAACTTTCTACATTTTATATATGATAATAAGTATCACAAAAATAAGAGGTCTTATTTTTTAACATTTATATCATACTTTTAGTTGACTTTTCTTAATGTTAAAAAAAAAATGAATACTTCTTAAATAATATTAGCGTGTTCATAAATTTAGCAGTGTTGGTTCAAGTGTCCAAGTTGTGTAGAAGCGTCAGCTTAAGTGTCCAAGTTCACAAAAAATATTTTTGTTTAATTTGACACCTAGCAATAAGTGTGTTAGTGCCATAAATGTGTCTGACAATGCCACAATTCAAACAAGAGGGTTCTCCATGCTTCATAGAGAACTGGATCCCAGAATCACCTTTGAACAACATGGGATACAGTTATAAATCCAACAGTGAGTAGTTCTTAAACAATTTTTTCATGTTTTGCTTCAATATGAAAAATTGTTTCAAAGGGGAAAGTACCTACAGCTAAAAATTAACGTCAGAGGATCCTGATCCACTCTCATAAATTCAATAAAATTCAGATTTCATCAGAAAACAAAAATATATAAGTGTAAACTTTAGAATTTGATAATAAAATGTAGAATAGCGATAGAAAACACACTTCAATGATATAAAACATAAAATGACCAAACCACTTATCTTATGATTTATGAAATACTTCTGGTACATCTATTACTAGTTTACAACATGCAAATTCAAGCTTAGAATTTTATTTCTTAATGATGAATAAGTCTGACATTATTGTTTGCAAAGTTCAATGGAAACGGTAAGAATGAACCAAAATACAAAGTAACATGCTACCTCCTCTGAACAAATGCATTGACATTTCTGTCTCTACCATCGCTTTGGGATGAAATTTCACTTGCAGCATGCAATAAGGAGTACACAGCAGCCTGAGAGAATTTATGCAACCAGTTTTTCAGTTCTCAAATTTTGAAAATTTAAAAACAATGAGCTCAAGTGACTTGTGAGTTGTGACCAGTGAGATCATAGCATTCTTGTAGGAGAGGCAATAGAAGAACCTGACTCAGACTACTTTACGATGAAGCATACATATTACAGCATATATAATTAGTTTCCATCAATGCAAATTATGTTCATCACGAAGATAATTTTAAAAAGAGAAATAATGAGGATGAAGCCAAATTCCCTACTCCTAGCCTTTAAGAAGACAGTATGTTCAGTTATCCAAAGCCAGATACTCAACTACCTATTACTTCAAAATATTAAAACGTAAACACATAAGAATGTATATAATATACAAACAAAGAAACACTATCTCTTGATGCATCAAAAATGAAAATTGTTCTCTTTTTTGAATGATTTCAAAAAAGGAATAAAATTGATAATATTATTCCTATATGTAAATAATAGAAAGTAATATATGATGACAATGATTTATAATTTTTTTGTTTCTAGAGATGTCCAAGAAGCATGTTTCAAACTTAAATTTGCATAATTGCAATTATAATGTTCCCGAGTGCGTGCCTATTAATGGAGAACTTCTTCTAGAAACCGTAATTGTTCTTATTTGTTGACATATGTAGGTGCATGATATATGTCCCAAATAATGCTATCTAACAAAAGTCAGGTGATACCTGACAAGACAATGCCTTCACCCATGCATTTTGGTCAACTCCAAGCCAGGCTGTTGTAAACCAGGACATTCGTGGGAACGATTTATGCTCTTTAATTGCCAGTTCAAAAACCCTGGCTGCGTCATATAAAGCTTGGACAAGTCCATCACAAAACTCTTCATCTTCCAGTGACCTATTCAGTTTCGCTCTCATTTTTTCTAGGTCAGTACCGGTGCTAGCTTGAAGACTCCCATTGACAGTCGCACCATCATCAGAGGAGGCAAATGGTAGAAGGTGCACCCTCCTTCTAGGTTTAGGGAACACCAAATAGCACTTTCTACTGCCTAAACCAGGATTACTGCTCGACAAAATATCATATAGTATGAGGCATCCCTTTCTTGAACTCCCCAATTTACTCAATAGTAGGCAATGTAAGTCGAACACTTTTCTCCCTGCGTAAGGGGAGCCATTTGAAAGCCAACAATTGGAAGAGCTGCCAGTCGATATGCAGTTAATACCAGCACACAAAAGATAAATTATACGCAAAAACTCAGCTCAAACGGAATACTATAAAATCGAAAACAAAGAGCACTACTTCAACCACACCAAATACACTATGTCATGCAGAGGTGATGCAGCGGATATAGTAAGTAAGCATTGCATCATGACTTTAAATAGTCAACGAATCTCTTTCTTAATCCATCGTTCTATCAATTAACTCTCGCAAACTCGATAAAAAAACATAGTCGTATCATTATGAACTAATGAAATTGAAATAAAATCATACATCGCAAGCCATAACTACTCTCAACTATTCATCTTTCGTCCATTGAAAACACGCATTTCCATAGCAACAAGCAATAGCGTTAAAATAAGGAAATGAAGAAACACTTCCCAAACTTGCTCAAGCAACTTCGGCGAAAGCAATACACAATATTACAACATTGTAAATAGTGATATCATGGACAAAATTCAAATTGTGGCCGCCAGAGCGTGAATATTGTGGTTTTTATTGAACTAACTATGATTAATTATCTTAGAACCAGAGACTCCTTCCTCAACCTTACAAAACCGGTCGGTATGGCACTTATATATATATGTTTCAATTCCACAACTAGAAAATGTTTCAATTATGAATTCTAATCTACATGGAAAACCTAGTCGTCTCCACACTCAGCGAAGAAGAACCGTAATCCGTAACTAGCAAGAGAAAGAGAGATGGAGAAATCGATTGTCACCTTAACGCGAGAAAGCTGTTGCTGCTGCGCAATGTGAGTGCCATACAGTGTGGATGCAGAATCCAAGAGAGGAATGAGTTGCGGTTGGCGCAGAGTAAGAGAGGGAAAAAAGAATCAGTGAAATGATATAGTAGTGGAAGAGGTTGTTCGGCTAAACGGACACGGAAGAGTGAAAGAAAGAAAGGATGACGTGGCAGGAGGGGGTGCTTTATCCGTAGACGTGGAGAGCCCGCAAATCACACACCACTGTCAGTCTTCCACCACTTGGCACTGGGTTAGTAGGACGGGCCGTCACGGTCCAATAAACCCGTGGTAGTAATCAAAGCGGGTATGCGTGCGTGATTCTGCAGGAGAGGGTGGGTATTTTACACGCACAACAGGTTGTCGCAGCTACTATATCCATTGTCGTCCTAAGCCTGAGTGTATCACAACACAGCACAACTCTTCCAATTCTTATTTAATAATTTATCCATTTTGACTTTTTATTCTTCTTTATAGTTTTCTAATAAAAATAAATAAATTATTGCAAATTACATTAGGATCTCCTCCTATTATTAAGTTTTTTTTTACCTTCGAAAAAAATAAAAAATGATAATAGACATTCATTTCCTCATTTCATACAAACTATTTTTATTTTAATTCATCTCTATATATAAGTAACATGTTTATCTAGTTTTTATCCTGAAAAACTCGAGCTTTAATTTGAAACTGAAAAGACAAGGCAACTGGTTTCTTTTTTATTATTTTTATAATAAAAGCAAGATGATGTATATATGGTTTTTTTTTTCATTTTAGTACCTAAAATGCACTTTTAATACTTGTAATTATTTTTAGATAACTATTTCAAATCAAAGAATGAATGTGTCATGATTGGTGTTTTTTTAAATATAGAAGCAACATGTTTCTTACTGTCTTTTATTAGTTACAACGAGAGGAAGAATACTAAAAAAATAATGAGGGTATGAATAGAGGATTTTGTTTCAATATTGGTATTAGTTTGAGTAGAAAATAAAATTACTTTGTTTGTAATAAAATTTTGTAATTTATAGTTTTTAAATCTGTACATTATTTACAAAGGTTTATTTGTTTTAATTTTAGAATAGGATTGTTTAAATTAATTTATAATAGATTTGTTTCATTGTAATTTTAGAATAGATTTGTTTGGTTGTAAAATAACAAATATTACATATTAATTTAAGAATAATTATAAGGTAGTAAAGGAGAAGAGATCATGTCAAGGAAAACATGATTTTACTTGTTTTACATTTCTTATTTTCAAATTTTGTGATGGAATTAAAAATATAAAATTAAAATTAAAGATGGAAAATAATTTATAACAAAATTCTAAACAATTGTTTTGAATTTAAAATTGGAAGACAATTTGGAATAACAACTTCTAAGTCTTTTAACTTAGGCTCATTTTCAATATCCAAAAATCCTATATAAGTAGATCTTATCTTAATGTACCATTTAATGAATTAAAATTTATTTGATAATTGTGAAAACAACTTGTGAATTTTCTTGAGTGTGATGTTTTTAATTTTTGTTAGTGTCTCACTTTATTTTATTTTGCTTAAAAGTTCCTTTCATATGAAATATGTATTCTTGTTGAAATCCATGAAATTTGATGGAAAATGAGTTCTGTATCCATTTTTTAATCATTGTTATTAAACTTTAAGAGAACCCGAAATTATTGTTCAATGGTAATAACTTAGGTTGACTAGATTTCATTGATTCATAATCTTAATTATTGTATTTAATTGATTATATATTATGTGTCACTTAATTATTAACTTGATTCTTCTTTTCAAATTCATGAGTATACAACAAAATGTAAGCATATTTAGTAAAAAATTCATGACCATAACTTTATCTCTCAATTCTAATAAAAATTTAGAAATTTTGAGATAATTTTCACTCATCTACACATCATCATTCTCATGATTCTCATGGTACCTGTTTCTGGTGAAAATTTGATTGATTTCGATTTCGAGGGAGTTGAGTCCTAATCAAATCTTGACCATGTAGATTCTTTTTACTTAGGCTAACAACTAGTTTTCAATCAAAAGTGCATGAGAATCGAAAATCCTAAAATCTCGAAAAGATGCAAACCACATGACCTAGAGTGCAGGTCGATGATCGAAAGTATTATTTTTGATGTTTTTTATTAAGTAACGCGAAGTAAAGAAAGCAGTAAGAATGTTGAATCGAAAAGCGGTATAGAATATGAAATTACAGAGAATTGAAAATTGCAGAAACCTCGAAATTGCATTAATTATAAATGACAATTAAAATTGCATGAAAGTAAATAGCAGGAAATCGAAATTGCAAAAAACGGTAAATGGCAAGATATCGAAAATACAGAAACTTAAATTGCATCAAAGGAAAATTACATGAACATAAATTACCAGGGAAAGTAAAGAAAGCGATAAAGGCAGTCAATGAAAATGGAAATCCAGATCGCCAGAAACTTCATGATTTCGTCGTTCTCCGGTAGACTTTTCACTAACGCTTCTGTTGCCTCTGCCAATTTCCCCCTCCTCCTTCATCTTTCGCTCTATTTATAGAGCATCCTTCAAGTAATCTCTTAGGAGCAGTTAACGAAAACTGCTACCACGTCCTGCGTGCACGTCTTTTGCAGTTTTACTTCTAGCTCTACGGTTAAAAACTGCATTCACGTTCTCATGCATGAGGTAACTGCTCCTTTGACCTTCGACTTCTACCACCGCTTATCATGTTCTATGTGCACGTCAATTTAATTTGTTTCTCTCTTTATAACTTAACCAAAATTCCGATAGGTTAACTTTTCCCTCGATTTCGATTCCAAATCTCGAGAATTTTGAATTGCTTCTGTTTTCACTTTGTTTCTCAACATTACTTTTGACTCAAATTTCTCGATTCTTTTCAACACATGGACATTAAATATTCCTCTTTCGATTCTGTTCTAATTCTCGATTTATGTGTCCATATTGTTACATGGTCATCAAATGTTTTCCAACTATCTTTTCACTTCATCAGTTTTTTTAACCAATCATATGATCTTCGATTTTTCTTTCCTTCGTCTTTCGATTCTTTTAACGATTTTCCACTAACAAAATGCCCCATTGGAAGAATACAAATATTTGTATTTATATTCTTTCAACATAATTCCCGCCTTTACATGTTTGGAGGCCCACCATAACTTAGGATTTAGGGTTTCTAGGGTTTTTTAGGGTTTATGGGGTTTTAGGGTTCTTTCTACTTTATGTCACCTATCACGTCAGTTCTGCTGCCACACTGCACACGCCACAATAATTGCCTTTCACCTCCGTCGCTTCCAATACCCTAGTTAGTTTCCTTTAAACGCTTATTAACCTTTTTACCCTTGTTTTTTCACTACGAACTTCATTCACTCCCCCTTTGTTCCTTCATCTTCTACCTTGCACCTTTGTCTTCTACCTTTCGTCCTCATCTACTCTACCGAATACTGAAATGACAACCTCATCCAAATCCTCTGACTTTTCCACCCCACAACTTCCCTCGGTGGCTGCTAACCTACTGAAGATTAATAACCAGAAATTTGCTCCAGTTCCTTTGATGGAGGAAGCTTCTCACGCAGGTACTCATTCCCTATACTGCTGATAATATTAATTACGCTTTTGGAGGTCCTATCCGCTATTGTGGCGAATCATTTTCCTCTTCCCTTAGCCTCTCAGAGAGTAAAGCTCTTCTTCACAAGTCCGAGGTGCGGATCGAATTTCTAAGCATTGTATCTAGGGTATACCGAACGGGCCCTCCCCACAAAAAACCTTTGTATATTAGGTGGTTTGATAGAGTGAAAACCAAGTTTGGGAACCATTGGAGAGATGTGGGGATCTTCAATTTTCTGCATCTATCTCGATGCGATTTATCCCATTTAGATATGGCTATGTTTTTATCAGCTCTTCATCTTTGGAATAAAGACTTGCATGCTTTGGAACTACCTTGTGGTCCCCTTTCACCCACCCTCTTTGAAATTGCTGCCATTACTGGATTGAAACCCATAGGGGAAACATATTTTAAGGTTGCTTTTCCTTCGGATACTTCTTTGAGGTCTAAGATCGATTGGGAATCGAAGGCGTATGGACATTTTATCAAAAAGCATTTCGTTGATGACCAATCGATAACTGTAACTGATGAGGAGCATATAGTTTTCCTAGTGTATTGGCTATGTACTCATGTTTTTTGCCCCCGATCCATCCAAATTTCATCCCACCTTTACAACCTTGCCTACCTCCTTCACTCTGGCCAGCCTAGAATTTGTTTAGCCAAACTTTTGTTAGCCCATGTCTATACTGCTTTTGATGAGGTCGTCGAGATTTTGAATACCCCCAGGGCCTCGGGAAATTTTTCAGGTCCCATTTGGTTTATCCAATTATGGTTGAACTCGATTTTTGAAAGTATACTCCCTCCAGCCTCCACAATCCCCCCGAGTTTAAATTTAGAGGGTGCTCGATTATCTTCTCGACATCCCCGCCATAAATCCGACGAGACCACCTATTGTAATTATCTCAGATTTTTGTTAACTCAATTTCGATTTGAGTCGCATTTGGCCCCTTTTTCTGTGCATCTTAGAAAAATCAGTGACCAACTTCGAGGACCAACATGGTTTAAATCGAAATTTCCTGCTCTTACTCCCGGGCTGCAGTCAGAGTTGGTCGAAGTATGGAGCAACTATTTGACTCAAGACGTATTGGTATCGGGTTTCCAATCAAAGGATCTTCAGCTCATCATCTATTATCCTCAGCTTTTCTCACGACAATTTGTTTAATTCAGGCCTTACCATTTTTTCCCCTCGATACCCCCTCAAGGTCAAAACTAAGTGAATCGACTGTTGGACGGGAGGTCGCCAAATTGCTGCCGAAAAACCTGATGCAATTTTACCCTTATATTTTTTAGTCCAATTATTTATCTACTCTCGGTTTCTCAGATTGGTGGGCCGATTGGTTTTCGAATAATCATGTTGATTTTGATATAGTTCAACATAAATTGATTGTCCATCCTTCTCTCGTATTGCAGGACAAAT